CACAGTGGTTCTGGGTATTGGGTGAGGGAGGGGTGCTGGGCCTGGAAATGCTCTGCAGGCAGAAACAAGGGCTGCCCGAGTCCCAGAGGGCGCATGCACAGCTGCCACATTGAGAATGAGCACCTTAGCACTGACCATGTCCAATAGCTGAGGGTGAAAAACATAGCTTATACTCATTTTACAAAGAACACTAAAGCACAAACCAGTAAAGGGTTTTTTTGTTGTTGCTGTTTTGTTTTTGATAGGATAGTGAGAATCTAGGAAAACTCCTGGGCAAGTAGTATGAGGAAACAGAAGAAAATTGAAGAAGGCTAAACAATTGCAGCAACTTACGGCCAGCTGAAGGATCCCAAAACCTTCTCTCCCCTAACTGAGACACTCAAGAGCAAATGGTATATACCTCTCTCCTCCCTGACCAGAGACTACATCCTGGTCGGGGAAATGGAGAACTGAGACTTAATTCATGTCATTTGTGCCAGCTAAAGCCAAGGACAGATGAAGTCAAGGGAAGAAATTTAAAAAATGACATTAAGAGCCAGAAATGAAAGATGAAAGTAAAACTGTATTAGGCCAAAGAATATTCCCCAATCCCCCACGTGCTCATTTTGATTCATCAGGATATTAAAAATGCACCTGGGAAGGTAACGAATATTCTGTTGAAGCACTAGCATGAAATCATCACCTGCAGAAGATAAAGAGCCCTCAGGACAAAGACTAAGGGCTGTCTCACTCTAAAGCACATTCATGCCCCTTCCCAGGCATGAATGCTTTTATTTGTCTTAAATTCTTAAGGGACCCCAGCACAGTTGCATCCAGGGGACAGAGGGCAGCATCATTTGACCTGGATTACCCCTTGATCCTGTCTCCAAGGCCATTTTCTCTGACCTCCCAGTGAGCTAAAAGGAGCCTGGCCTTGTTTCTCTTCTACCTCTGACCTCCACTTCCCAGGGAGCTAACAGCAGTCCTGCCGTGCCTCTCTTTTCCTGTAACATTTCTAGGGAGCCATAGGAGAGCACCGCCTAGGCTCTCCTGTTACTTTCCCTACCCTAAGTCCTTCCTTTGTTTCACTGTCCTCTCCCTTAATAAACACACCCCAGGCTGGTTTCTGTCCTGTAACAATTTGATTGAGTCCCAATGATATTTTATAATCCGGTATTCAGACCCATGGTGCCTGACCCAGGGCATGGGAAGTCTGATCACTGCCCTCCTATTTCCCTCTACACTGAGCTCTCAGAGTGGAAACCACCCTCCGCATCCTGATGCCACCTGGTCTCCTTTAGAAATGTTCCAATCCAAGTGCCCCCATGAGAGGCAGCCAGAAAAATGAAAAATACAAAACAAGTGCTTATTGTATTATGAAATGACAGGACATTTCAGCCCTGGCTGGTGTGGCTCCGTGGATTGAGTGCCAGCCTATGAACCAAAGGGTCATTGGTTCGTTTCCCAGTCAGAACACATGCCTGGGTTGCTGGCCAGGTGCCCAGGAGCGGGTGAGAGGCAACCACACACTGTCTAAAAATAAATAAAATAAATAAATGATGAGACATTTTAAACCAATGAATACTAGAGTTTAAAATAGTGTCCATTGCATTGTGGAAAGCATGAAAGTACAAAATATTAAAATATCACACCAATAACAAAAAACCTATTTATTTAATAAAGCAGAGGTCAGAAATGAAATTCCAAAATGCATTGTTTCTCTGTCCTTTTGTAATAGAAAACTGCCAAAACTTTCAGACTATGCAGAACACAGGATCATTTAGCAAAGGTACAGACATAGCACATACATACCCGAGAAGACTCACCATAAATCCTTATAAAAATATTTAAAAAGTGAGGTAGCACTAAAATGTTTTTACAAAAAGTTTTAATAAAAAATGATTTACCAACCATTCCCTCCTAAGATGTGAAGGAAACGAATCTCTTACATACTGCTGGAAGAATGCAAAAAGGTACAATTAGTTTAGAGCACAAATTGCTTCTCTCTACAACTTAAACATTCACCTACTCTGCAACTCGGACTACGCAGTTATTGACAGGGAATTGAAACTAATGTCCATATAAAAATTATACACATTTATACGTTTAAAGCCAAAAATTAGAAATAATCATTTTGAATGGATAAATTCATTGTGCTAAATTCAAAGATAAGAATATAGCCCTGGCTAGTGTGACTCAGTGGACTGAGCGCCAGACTGAGAACTGAAGGGTCACCGGTTTGATTCCCAGACAGAGCATATGCCTGAGTTGTGGCCCATGTCCCCAGTTGGGGGCATGTGAGAGACAACTATAGGTTGATGTTTCTCTCCCTCATTCTCCATCCCTTCCTCTCTAGAAATAAGTAAAATCTTTAAAAAAATATTTCGTAGCAAAAACAGATGATTTACTAATGTATCATTATTAATCTCCAAATATAAATGCAATGCAAAAGGAAGCAGAAAATATTGTTACTCTCATTTATTACAATGAAATATACATCAATGTTTACAGAGCTGTATGACTAAAATGGCCATGAAATAAACTCCCAGTGACAGTAATGAACAGTATTTATGAAAATGGTAATGGTTTTAGTATCATGTGTAAGTGAAGACTGATCAAATATTACTCAAAACAGGATGTTTACTAATTAAAGCTTATTAAAAATGATACGATTAAAAATTTTACATGCCCAACTCTCTATTCAAAACACGTTCTCATGTACTTGGGATGAGGTTTTGCCTCAGTGAAAGCAAATACAACCAACAATAAAAACTCACTGAAACCAACAGGACTGCTGCTGGGTCAAAGTTGCAACATCACTTTATTTTTCTTTCTACCAGGGCACCAATGGTTCAGAAAAGAATATCTGACAAGGAGACAGAAATCCACATTTTAAAAAATTTTTTATTTAGGGAGCAGTGGGAATTTAGATTTGTTGTTCCACTTACATGTGCACGCATTTGTTGGTTCTTGTATGTGCCCTGACCGGAGTTTAAAATCAGAACCATGGCATATCAAGATTACACTCTAACCAACTGACCTACCTTACCAGAGCCAGAGAACCTATTATAATATTCAATGACAATGACAGAATCAACAGAAGATAAACATTCCCGCTGATCCTGATATTTGTGTACATACCCATCCTGCAGTCCTCAGAAAATGTTCTGAATGCATGCTGAGAAAATGCACATTCCATCTAGGTGGCTGCAGTCCCCTCCAAGCACCTATTAGACCAGTGTTTCTGTGGCAGTTTCCCCTAATCTCCATGGTGCTGCAACTAGTGACCATCACCAATGGAAGTGCAGACAATATGGCACATGATATTTGAAAGACCTGGGTCAGAGGCTCCCTTCAGAAGTATTAGTGTCCTTTACAAACAAGAAAAAAATTCATGCTGCTCTGAGATGTATGAGGTCACCATAGCTACTCATTCTTTGGAGTGATCTCTGTGTCTCCTAAAACTTACAGCATTGAGGCTTCTCATGAGAACTAGAGTCCAGTCTGGCCTAGGTGGATATGAGCAGGAATACAAATCTGGAAAAAACTGCCACATTAATTTCTGTGTCCTCACGGAGGCAGAGAAAGTTTGAGACACATGTAAAAGCTGTTCAAGTCTTCATGCTTTGTAGAGCACAAAACTGTTAAAAACGACCCCACACATTAAATAGAGCACCCAAGATTAAAGACGACAGGAAAAAAGGCCTTATTCTACAAAACAAAGGGAGATTAGCTTGGCAGTTCTTATATTGGAGACTTGAACACTTAAAAATTATCACTGGTATATGAAAAAGCATGTCCCCAAAAAGGCAGTCCTGCAAGCCAACAGCTTGCACTCCCATGCAGATGATTTTCTCTGGGCCAAAACCCAAGTATGAGCCAAGCATGCACCAAATAGTTGTAGTGCAAGGAATAAAGCCCTACAAAGTTAGGCTACTCCTGTTTCTCCCACCAGAGTTATGTTCTCTGAGCACATTATCATAGATGAGCTACTATCACAGATGTATGATAACTCATGCATCTCTGAGAATCTTATAGCTGCTGCAGATAATATATCTTCAGTGCGGAAATTTGCAGTGACATGATTCTGGAAAGAGACCTGGGTAAATAAAGTGCAACATGGACACACATGCAACACATATTAAAAAAAAACCCAACCAACCTTAGCTCTGGCTGGTATAGTTCAGGGGGATTGAGCGCAGGCCTGTGAACCAAAGGGTTGCTGGTTCAATTCCCAGTCAGGGCACATATCTGGGTTGCAGGCCAGGTCCCCAGTAGGGGGACAAGCAAGAGGCAGCCACACATTGATGCTTCTCTCCCTCTTTCCCCTTTCCTTCCCTTTAAAAATAAAATCTTTAAAAAAAATAAATTTATGGGACATCTCCCTACTGTTTGTTTGGATGTATGATATTTTAGTCAGAAACAAGGCTTCATAGTTTCCTACAGTATGGTTAACACACACACAAAATACCCTGTACCTTTCTTACACATCCAAGACCTTCCCCCCATATAAAGTCTTATGTGCAGAGGAAGATTAGGAATTTGGCTAAATATTTCTCACATTAACTGCACTTATAAGGCCTTTCTCCTGTAAGAACTGATGATGAAGTTGCTTTTGAATGCAAGCTTTCCCACATTCACGGCATTCATAAGGCCTTTCTCCAGTGATATCATCAAAGATATTTCTCAGCTGAACAGATGAGCTACTATCATTAAAACCCTCCAAATATATAGGGAAATCAGTGTTTACCTACAGATGGGTGAAGAGGTGGCAGAAATAAAAAAAGCCATGAAGTAAATCCCCAAGGACAGATATGATCAGTATTTTAACTATGGTGATAGTTTCAAGCAGTGTTTTAACTATGGTGATGGTTTCAGTTTTAAGTATAAGTGACTGACCAAATAGTATACTTCAAATATATTAATTAAAGATTTTAAAAATGGTTCAAGATGTGAAACTTTGTATGTCCAATGCCTTTTGAAAATAGGTTTGGAAAGTGTATGTTCAATCCACGTTCTCAAGACGCCTGGGACTTTGCCTCAGTGACAGCAAATATAGCCAATAAAGCTGCCATAAAAGAATGCTGGGTGGGTCATAAAAGTGACATCCCTCAACTGAAGATACCCTTTATTTTTTTCTTCCAGTGCAATGGCTTTGACATTAACATCTAATAGGTGACTGAAATCCTCAAATTTTTGAAATAATTTTACTTACTGATTACTCAGAAGAGGCACATTCCATCTAGTTACAGTCTCCTCAACCCTATTTAGGCCAGTGTTCCTGTGGCAATCACAGCTTCCCCATACCCCTGTGGGGCTACTAGTGACCATCACCTATGGAATTGCAGACATTGTGACACATGGCCCTTTGTAAAACCTGGGCCAGAGATTCTCTCCAAAATATTGGCATCCTTTGCAAAGGAAAACATCATGCTGCACCCATACGTACTTAAGGTTGTCTTAGCTACCCCCTCTTGGAGTGACCTCTGTCTCTCCTGAAACTCACAGCATCTAGGCTTCTCGTGAAAACTATAGAGAACCCAGTGTTGCCTAGGTAGACGGAATGAGAAGTAATGCAAGTTTGGGAAAAACTGAGTTAATTTCTACAACAAACTGTACCCATGGAGTCAGAGAAAGTTTGAGACACATGTAAAATTGTTCACTGGTTCATGCTCGTAGGGCAGAAATCTGCTTATAAACTACCCCACACAATACACAGAACGCCCAAGATTAACAAATTTGGGGAAAAAGGCCTTCATTACTTTACAATCCAAAAAGAAGGAAGCCTGGCAGTTCTTGCAGGGGTGATGTGGCCATTCAGAATTTTATTACTGATATCTAGCAAGAGCACATCCCTGAAAAAGGGAAAAACCGTCCTTCTACAAGCTGATAGCTGAACTCAGATGATGTTCTCTGGGCTTATAGTGTGTCGACTAGTGTATGAAAAAGGAATAAGAATCTAAAAAATAAGTTCCATTATCCCTAATTTTGTCCTGGCTGGTGTCAGTGGATTGAGTGCTGGCCTGTGAACCTAAAGGTCACCAGTTCAATCCCAGCTCTGGGTTGCAGGACAGGTCTCCAGAGAGGGCATGTGAGAGACAACCAATCGCTCTATCTCCCTTACACTGATGTCCCTCTCCCAACTCTAAAAATAAATAAAATAAAATTTAAAAAAGTTAATCTATTACTTTCTCCAACAAATCAGCGAAATGTTACCTTCTCTTATGTGCTTTTTTAACATTAAAATGGTTAACAGATGCAATCTTTTGGCACCAAATAGGTGGTGCAGGTGAAGTATCTTCAGCAACAGAAATATGCAGTGATATGGAGATATCTGGCAAGACACCTGGGTAAATCAGAAAGTGCAACATGGACACACAGGCTTCCCACATTAAAAAAAATTATGGGGAGTCTATTATAGATGATTGGCTGTATGAGATTTGATTCAGATGAACAAGGCTTCGAAGAATTTCTTTCTGTAGTATTAACATGAACGAAAAACTGCACACTTCCTACACTTCTAAAACAATCTTCCATGTGAAGTCACGTGAGGAGAACAATTTTGGCTGAAATATTTCCAACATCTCTGATTATAACAACAACTAGAGTGACTATAAGACTACCCACATTCACTGCATTTATAAGGCCTTTCTCATGTGTGAACCCTCTGATGATAACGAAGGATATCAATTCTGGTAAAAGATTTTCCACATTCACTGCAATGATAAGGCCTTTCTCCTGTGTGAACCCTCTGATGAACACGGAGGTTAGTGCTAGTGCTAAAACATTTTTCACATTCACTGCACTGATACGGTCTTTCTCCTGTGTGAACTCTCAGATGAACACGGAGCCTAGTGCTAGTGGTAAAAGACTTCCCACATTCACTGCATTCATAAGGTCTTTCTCCAGTGTGAACTCTCTGATGACAATGAAGGTGATTAATTCTGGTAAAAGACTTTCCACATTCACTGCAATGATAAGGCCTTTCTCCTGTGTGAAATCTCTGATGATATCTGAGGCTAGTGCTAGTTGTGAATGATTTGCCACATTCATTGCACTCATAAGGCCTTTCTCCAGTGTGAACTCTCTGATGACAACAAAGGTGATACATTCTTGTAAAAGATTTCCCACATTCACTGCAATTAAAGGGCCTTTCTCCAGTGTGATTTCTCTGATGATAACGGAGGCTAGTGCTAGTGGTAAAAGATTTCCCGCATTCAAAGCACTCATAAGGCCTTTCTCCTGTGTGAAAGATCTGATGATAACGGAGGTTAGTGCTAGTGGTAAAAGATTTCCCACATTCACTGCATTCATAAGGCCTTTCTCCAGTGTGAACTCTCTGATGACGATGAAAATCACCAATTGTAGTAAAAGATTTCCCACATTCACTGCACTCATAAGGCCTTTCTCCAGTGTGGACTCTCTGATGACAATGAAGGTGATTAATTCTGGTAAAAGATTTCCCACACTCATTGCACTCATAAAGCCTTTCCGCAGTGTGAAATCTCTGATGATCTTGGAGGCTAGTGCTACTGGTAAAAAATTTCCCACATTGACTGCATTCAAAAGTCCTTTCCCCAGTGTGAATTCCATGATGTAAATGAAGGTAATAGAGCCTGTTAAAAGATTTCAGACATTCGCTGCACTCATAGGGTCTCTTTCCAGTGTGAACTCTTCGACAATAATGAAAACTAGAAATACTGGTAAAATATTGTCCACTTTGATGACACAGAAAACACTGGGGTCCAGTATGAACACCTTTGTTCTCAAGAATCTTGTGGTTGCAACCAATTGCTTTTTTATACTCATTCAGGATGTAATGATTTTTGCTGTTTTGAGGAGTCACCCCAGACATTGAGAAATCATTTGGCTTGTCCCTGGTTTGAGTAGCCTGTTGCTGGAGATGTCCTGACCTGGTAAGGATGTCCTGCCCAACATTGCCATAGGTAAAAAGCTTCTGGAACACATTAAAACTGCAGGTTTTCGCAAGTGACATCCTATCCACTCCTCTTATGAAAGACTCCTCTCTCATGTGGTGCTCCTGATGCTGCTGACACTTTGCACTGAAATAAAATTGTTGTCCACATGCTCCACATCTCAGCAGTTTCTGGCTGTGTTGTGTTTCCTGCTGCTCAATGCAGTGAAAAATGTCTTTCAAGACTGGCCTACAACTCTCACAGGGATGGCGTTGCCTGGGAGACAAAAGTATACTGGGATTCTTTGCCTTTGACACTCCTATAGAATCGTTTTGTTCACTTGATGCTTTCATATCCTCGGCTCCACAGCAGCAACCTGAACAGAAAATAAAAAAGGTGGTAAAGTATGTGTTGACCTTATAAGAAAGAAATATCCACATCATAAATGGCCATCTGTCACAGTTAGGCATGGTTCTAAGAAAAGACTTTCAAGGAAATGGAGTGAGAGTCTGAAGAAATGGCTATTATGCATTACTTTGCTCCAATGGTCAGTCTGTGGTGGAGGCTTCATGAAGGGAGAGACAGGAGCATAGAATGGGACATAGAGAAGACAGGCAGGGTCTACTCATTGTTCCTACACAAATGGTTTCCTACAAGACCCTTCCTGTTGGTTATGTGAGTCTGTGTAGAATAATTTGAATGAGCTCAAACCCATAAACATCAGTTGTACCAGAGCATATGATGTTCAAGGTCATATAATGATACATGTACATTCTGATGATCTGCAGGAATGGAGAAAGTTTGAACTGTGGTAAATGGAACCTGTAAAAGAAATGGTTGGGGTGTAAAGTTTAGAGGAGAAGATTATCCATGGGCTGGGAATCAGATTAGAAACGATAACTTAGAACTGAGGGATTGACAAAACTTCAACAATAAACAAGAATTAGTATAATGGGGTAAGGAAGTGGCAATGGTAACAAAATACTGTTGAACAAAATGGATGCCTACTTTTGACCTTAACGAAGCCCTGTCATCAAACCTTGTTCAGCAGCTGTACACCAAGGCAAGGATACCTCTGTGTCCATGCTGCCATGGATAAAGTCATGTTTATCTTGGGATGCACAAGCAATTCTCCCCCTTAAATCTCAGTTTAGCCATTCCATGCAACACACATGATATAAAATCTAAGAGCAAAACTGAAGAGATGGATGTCCAGCACTATGGTAGAACAAAAAAGCACAAGAGACCAAGGAAAAAAGGCCTATATGAGTGACTTCAGCAAGATGGCCTAATAATAAACATGATACTTCTTCATTCTCCAAGAACAAGGAGACAGCTATTCACAACAAAATCAATCCCAGTGTGGCTCAGTGTGTCAGGTGCCATTCTGCAAAGCAAAAGGCTGCCAGTTCAATTCCCAGTCCAGGGACACACCTGAGCTGTGGGTTAGGTCCTGGTCTGGCCTGTACAAGAGGCAACCAATTGATGTTTCTCTCCCACATCAGTGTTCCACTCCCTGTCTTTCTCCCTTCCTTGTCCTCTCTCAATAAATAAATAAATAAATAAATAAATAAATATATTTTTAAAATAGGTAACTCAGAAAAGTTACAGGATAGAAAATCAACATACAAATATCAGTTCCAACCTGGCTGGTATGGCTCAGTTGGTCGGGCATCATTCTACAAACCAAAAGGTCACTGGTTAGATTCCAGGTCAGGGAATATGCCTGGGTTGTAGGTTTAGTCCCTAGTTGGGGCAACTAGAGAGGGCAACCAATTAATCTTTCTCTAATCTCCTTCTCGCTCCCTTCCCTCTCTCTCTCTAAAAAACAAAAACAAAAACAAAAAAACCCAAAAATCTCTCTCTATATAATATATATAGATATAATATATATAGATATGTTTTATATATCTATATATATTTTATATAACATATATTTATACTTAATATATGTATATCTCTGTGTGTGTGTGTGTGTGTGTGTGTGTTCCATTTCTACACAGTGAAAATAAATTCTTTGATAAAGAAACAAAGAGCCCGGGCTAGTGTGGCTCAGTGGGCTGAGCAATGGCTTGCAGACCCAAAGGTTACTGGTTCAATTTGGGGTCAGGTCGCACGCCTGGGTTGTGGGCCAGGTCCCCGATTGGGGGCAGGCAAGAGGCAATCGATCAATGTTTCTCTTGAACATTGATATCTTTCTCCCTCTCTTTCTACCTCCTTTCCTCTCTCTCTAAAAATAGAAAAATAAAACCTTCAAATTAAAAAAAAAAGAAACAAGGAAAAAAAGAAACAAACAGCCACAGCCAGATGGCTCAGTTGGTTGGAGCATCGTCCCATACACCAAAAGGTTGCTGGCTAAATGTCCAGTCAGGACACATACCTAGGTTGGGTGTTGGGTCCCAGGTTTGTCATATACAACAGACAACTGTTCAATGTCTCTGTCTCTTTCTCTCTCTCCATCCCTCTCCTGCCTCAGACTTTAAAGTAAATATACATACCCTAGAGTCAGGACTGAAAAAAAAATAAATGAAGGAAGTAGTCAAATATACAAGAGCATCAAAAACAATGTAATATTCAGGAATACATTCAACCAAAAAGGTGAAATGTCTATACATGGAACACTATTAGACTGTGATAAAAGACAAGGAAGAAAACATAAATAAGTACAAAGACATTTGGTGTTTTTGGAATTGAAAATATAGTATTGCCAAAATGTCTATACTGCCCAAATCAATCTACAGATTAAATACAATTTCTAAGATAATTTCAATGGTATATTATAAACAAATAAAAAATGCTGAAATGTATGGAATATCTTCAAAGAGCAAAAGCAATCCTGAGCAAGAACAATCTCGGTGACCCCTCACTTCCCGACTTCAATCTATTACAAAGCCAAAGCAACAAAACTGTATATAGATCAACAGAACAGAGAACATAGAAATAAACACAGGCACAGACTTTCAACTAACATTTGACAGTTAAATCTCAAGACTTATTTATAAAAAAAAAATAGTATCCTTGATAAATGGTGCTGGGAAAAAAGGATATTCACAAGTAAAACAACAAAACTGGACACCACTGATGAAAATGAATTCAAGTTACACAAAGAATTAAATGTTAGTCCTAAAACTTAATACTCCTTCAAGAAAAATTAGAGAAGCAGCTCTGGAGATTGGTTGTGGATATGGTTTTCTGGCATGTGACAAGATCCATCAGACAAAAAGCACAAAAACAAACAGTCCAGACTACAACAGATGAAAGAGCTTCATTATAGCACAGGAGCAATTAATGTAATGAAATAAAAAGGCAATCTACAGGATTGGAGCAAATACTTGCAACATCATTTAAAGGTATTGCTTGGAGGTACTGTGGGCTTGGTTCAGAAAACAAAAACAAAGTGAATATTGCAATATAAAAATTCACAATTTTTTTATTTTCCCATGAATAATAAAGTTAGGTTAACACTACACTGCATGCTATTTTTTAAAATGATTTTATTCATTTATTTCTAGAGAAAAGGGAAGGGAGGGAGAAAGAACAACATCGATGTGAGAGAAAAACATTGATGGGGTGCCTAGCGAACACACCCCAACCTGGGATCAAACCAGCAATCCAGGTATGTAACCTGACTGGGTATTAAAGTGGTGATTTTTTGTTTTGCTGGATGGCGCCCGAAGAAGTTAGCCACAAAGGTCAGGGTTGTATTGAAGGCTATTAGTAACACAATACCTTTGTCTAAAAAAACTCCTAAAACTTCCAGTCAGGATTGAGGCTTTGCCTCTGTGTACAACTATAGCAAAAATCACAATTAGATTACAAAACAAGTATCACACAGATTTGACAGAGAATCAAGGTGTATGGAAGTCGGACAACCAAGGATTTAAAGAAGCCACATTCATACAGATTGGGAGGAGGGGAGGAGATGCAGAGTCACAAAACAGTGAAATGGGTTTCCCCTTAGATATAAGGCTCCACCTGACACAATTTACAGGTGCCTTTTCTAAAAGAGCCCAGACTACTAAGACAGGGTGTCAAAGCAGCTCTACCTAATACACAGAAACAAACACAGGGAGGCTGCCAAATTGAGGAGACAGTGAAATGTGGTCCAAATGAAACAAAAGAATGAAACTCCAGGAAAAGAAGTAAATAAAATGGAGAAAAGCAACCTATCAGATGCAGAGTTCAAAACACTGGTTATTACTATGCTTAGATAAATCACAGGGTACTGCAATTAAAAAAAAAAAAAAAAAAAAAGGCCCAGGCAGAAAAGAGGATGGCATTAAATGAAATAAAGAAAAATCCAAAGGGAACCAACAGTAGAGGCAGCATTCAATCAGAACAGCAAGAAGAAGAATAGAAACAAACAAAAAACATGAGAATAGAATAAGGAATCTCTGGGATATCTCCAAATGTACAAACATCCGAACCATACGGGTGCCAGAAGGAGAAGAGCAAGATCAAGAAATTGAAGACTGATTTGAAAAAACAAGAAAGGAAGCTTCCCTTATTCGGTGAAGGAAACAGACAAACATGGCCAGGAAGCACAGAGAGTACCACACAAGCCGGACCAAAACAGGACCACATCAGGACACATAATAATTAAAATTCCAAAGGTTAAAGATAAGAGAAAATCTTCAAAGCAGCAAGAGAAAAGCAGAGAGTTACCTACAAAAGAGTTCCCTTAGGACTGTAACCTGAATTCTCAAACGATACTTTGCAGGCTAGAAAGGACTGGCAAGAGTATTCAAAGTGATGAAATGCAAAGCTATCATTTAGAGCTGAAGGGCAGATAAAGTGCTTCCTAGATACAGTAAAACTAAAGGAGTTCATCATCACCAAGCCATTATTGTATGAAATGTTAAAGGGAACTAATGTTAAGAAAAAGATCAAAACTATGATCATTAAAATGGCAACAAATGCATAACTATCCACAATTGAATCTAAAAAACAAACCAAGCAAACAAGCAGAAGAGCAACAGAATCAAAGAGCATGGAAATCATCTGGAGAGTTAGCAGGGAAGGGGGAGTGGCAAAATAGAGGAAAAGGTGCAGGGATTAAGAAGTATAAATTGGCAGGTACGAAATAGACAGGAGAATGCTAAGAACAGTATAGTAAATGGAGTAGCCAAAGAACTTATATGCATGATCCATGGACATAAACTAAGGGAGGGGAATTACCAAGGGGATGGGCGTTCCAGATGGAGAGGGGCAAAGGAGGAAAAATTGGGACAACTGCATCAGCATAATCAATAAATATACTTAAAAAAATTGAAAGAAACTATACATAATTAAAAAGTTTATCACTGGTTACAAGGATCTAAGCCTGCTGAAAAAATGGCGACACTAGACTTGCTAAATGCACCACTGTCAAAAACACTGAATTTGTAAAAACAAAAACAAAAACAGAAAGAAAGGCAGGCCACAATATGTACAAAGCACAATGAAGCAAATGCAAATACAAGTATGTGAAAAGGAATTAACATATAAAACATACAAGGGATTCATTAGCCAAAAAAATGTCGAGAAAAACTTCCCCCAAAAATGTACAAATGAGCAACAGGAATAGAAAAAATGTTTTTCCTCAGTTAATCAAGGTGATATCCATTAGGCCCCCTGCAACACTACAAGCAACAAATCCTTCCCTAGGACTTCAGTAGAACACAGATTGATTAGCACTACTGGGAGACAAAAAGACAGTGAAAAACCAGCCCTACCAAGTAAAGCTACTCAGAAAACTGGAAAATCAAGCAGCAGTTGCAGTCCACATATTAGTAGAGAGTACCCCCTAGAGAAGAGGAGGCATGGGAAGTGCAAAGCCAAATCTACATCACTGGCAAGAATGAGGGTCTTACCCAGCGAGGATATAAGTTCAAAGTTCTCCAGCATCACATCCAGGTACAGGCGTCTCTGACCCTCATCAAGGAGGTACCATTCTTTCTTAGAGAAGTACAGGGCAATGTCTTCAAAAGTTACACCAACCTGGCAAAATTGAGACAAATGAAGCCAGATCTGTCTTTCCAAGAACCACAATCCTATTTTTTACAAATCTTTCCCATGCTCAATTTCCCAGTTCAGTGTGCACACCATGCCCTAATACCTGTGCTAGGCTGCTCTCATTACAGTCCCATTAGTCACGCTTACCACCTTCACCAACGGAAGCTGAGCTGGGGGATGCGGTCGACCACAGATAAATGTCCTCTAAGCCTTTGGCCTTGAGTGCAGGGTCCCATCCTCCCTGACAAGAAATACCACTGAGTCCCAGATCATGCTTACAAGACATAGCCAAACATGGGCTTATGCTTCACCCTGAAGTCCCCACACCAGGTACCCAGGACCATCATCAGTTCAAGGTTCCTCTAGTTGAGCAGCACATCGTTGTGGAATGTCTGGTTCCTTCACATCACACTCCAGGTTCACTCCCTAAGCTCTGCAACCTTCCTGCTCAACACCACAGTAGTCTCCCAGGACTCACACATGAAATAGGCACACGGAGAGTGCTTCACAGGTTCCAGCAGGATCCAGCGCAACCCGTTTTCTGATGGATCCCACAGCCCAGGAAAGCCTGGAATGTCTCAGTTCTCCCTGCCTGCCTCTGATCTTTGCTTCAAAATTCACCACCCAGATCTGCATGGGCATTTCAAGTAGAAATGATTCTTTACCACTCTGAACTGTACTTGCTGGGTCCTAAGAAACCATAACGCTTCCATCTCGAGTGAGACTTCACGGTCCTCGATGACGGTCCTGGGACGTCACTATAGCCCACACACGGGGCTTTGGTATTCGGTGTGGTAAGGCGATGATGGGGGTGGACGTGTGAGGGAATGTGCGCTTACCTCAGCCGGGCACCTCAGCGAGGTCACCAACGGACGCTGTCGGCGAGACGCAGCGGTGGCAGCGGGAAAGGAGACCGCCCCCGACATGGCGGCCCCCGTTCCGGCCCCGGGGCGAGTCTCCCAGGCAGCGGCACCCAGCTTCTTACTTTCAGGTGTCCTATGTGGACCACCACTCTGGCTCCTTCCCCGCCCCGGCATCTCTACTAGACTCCAGCGATCTGGAGCATCCGAGGCCTTAATTTAACTGGATTAAGGCTGACGCAAAATGCCGCTGGTGAGGACGACGCCGGAAGTCCCGCCCTCCCCCGTGTGCGACAACGGAAACGCCTTTTCTGAGCCTTCATTGGCTAGGCTTTTGCCGGTAATCAACACTCCGTGTTCCGAGTAACGTGGGTCTGAGAGTCCAAGGCAGGGATAAGGAGTTTCTACGGCACTTCGGCAGAAAAGACCAAGATCCGCCGGTAGGGAGAATGGGAAATGACAAGTCCTCATGAAAGACACATTCTGAAAATGGCTAAAGAAATTTGTCATCTTTTCCTGGTGAAGGTTCTTGAGTTCATGTTCATAAAAACACTTAATCTGGAGTCCAGTACAGCGAGTCATAATAAAAGAGGCATTCCTCAATACAGAGTCTGGAGAATTTTATCACACAAATGATCTTCTTACACCATAAGTACATGACAAATAAAAAAAGGACATACCTTTAAAACAAAAATTAACACGCATAAAACATTAAATGAAAGCCTATTCTTATAGTTCTAATTTGTACATCAATTCGAAATAAGTATTTTTAAATATTTGAAAATTTAAGTGACAGTTACTGATGTTTTTAATGTGAAAATGTTATTGAAATTATAGTGAAAGAAAACTTGACTTTTATAGACATACTTATCAGGCGAGATGATGTTTCAGGTGTCATAAAATTATGAACATATTAGTAAGTTATATGTAGAGTAAGTGAAATATATTCATTAAAGAAGTTGACCTATCTATAGCTCCAGAAATTTTAAAAAATCACATGAAATATTATAAACAACTAGTTAGGGGTATGCGTACATGCAATCAATAGTAGAATCAGTAATTCCGTAAAACACTTCCCCTATTTAAAAATTCAGAGCAAATGACTGAAGTATATACCAAAATTTGAAAAACATTACAACAAAGTGTTGTAACAGAGGAGTTGCAAAAACTTTAATTTTACCGGAATTTATAGAAATCACTTCTAAATGAGCATAACCTCAACACCCTGAAACTGGCACAACGATCATAGGGAGTGGCCTGACACTGTCAGCTAACTCCTGGCATAGAACACTGTAGAGTTTTCTGACCATGATACATCTTCCCCATTAAATCCAACCTCTTTTCTCCCCTCCTTTAAATTGTGCTATTAAAATTGTGCTAAATCTTCTGGATCTACATGCCTGTCAGTCATGAGTGCTGCTCGATGTATGTTTCTGTATCACCTATCACCTAATAATTTACTATGAGTATTTTCTTTTTGAATTCTTAGCTACTATTCAATTAAGTTTTTGAACAAGCTTGGTTGTGGTCACATTTCTTCATTCACAGCTGTGTAACACACACCTACTTCAACCTATGAAGCAGTGAGAAAATTAGTAAATGATTCCTCAAGCAATGAAACGTGAGGCCACATCTGTTGTTCCACAATTCTAAACTGGTTTGCTCACACCTTACTATATTTTTCTAATTTTCTCCCCTCCAAGTTTGCACGAAGGAAAATAACTCGTACATTTGAGAAACAACAGATCCTTGGTGGTCATTGTTTCCAGCATAGCCATAGCTGAAGTAAATTCTCTCACCTTGTGGAACTCAGTGTCCTTTCATTACCACTCACACAGACTTACGTGTTCTCAGCCTTCTATGGCCTTTGTCTCCTTGCTGTTTCAGGAATGCATATTGTATAACTCCCTCATCCCTTTCTGTAGTTGGCCCAACCATAATTTTCTTTAGAAATATTGATCAGTCTCCAGGCAGGCATGGTCACTACATTGACAGGTGAAATAATGACTATTTCCCAGCATGGTGGCAAGATCCTGGAATCCAAAAATCTTTATCTCAGATTCAGATGCTCACTTTCAACACCTTTGAACATTTCTAAGTTGTAGCCATCCTGGCAATAAATATAAAGTAGCTACATAACCATATTCAGACATAGATGTCATGTTTTTAGGGAAAATGGACAATATGCCAGAAAACAGAGTAAGACTGTATTATAAATTATTTGGGGTGAGGCGTGGAACACAAACACAAAAAGCCAGACAGGATATATTTTGAAGGAAAAGGCATGGTGTCACACCATCCATTTGCTTTGGGGCTGCCTAATGTATCGCTTCCACATGACCTCTAAACATGTCTGGAGTATTCTTGCTCTCTTCGCTGAGCAAACACACTGGGCCTCCTGATACTCATTCTAAGAGCTTTACTCTCCATGAAGTCAAGTATGAGGACTGTGTGTTTTATTAAATGTTTAAGTGAACCTTAGCGTATTTATCATAATTAATGGATAGGCATTTCTGACCTCAAAGCATGAGTTACGAATGAATTCTATCAGAGTATTTTACTTCCATGTTTATGATGAAGGTGGACATTAAAACTTGGTACTCAATGTTGATAAAGGAAAAATCTTATTACACAGGCCAATAAAATATTGTAAAGTACATATAACAACATAATCAGTCATGCAAAAGTCCCAAAACTTAAAAAAATGTTTGAGTTCAATGAGAGAAGTTGAATGGTGCCTGAAACTGACCTGACACCAGGTCTATGCTTAGGAAACTAAGCTATGACCATTCTTACTATTCTCTTAAAAACGACCTACATTTATTTTTTGTTATATAGAGTATATCCTAAAATGTGTATTTCTATCTTAGTTGTGGCATGTGTGCTGGGCGCTGGGGTGTTTCTGTTAGAAACAAAGTAAAAAACTAAAAACTGTATTTCAACTCCAACATCACTTCTGCAGACAAAAGTACACTGTAAAGGAAAACATGAGTTCAGAATAGGTGGGTACAGAGACCCAAATTACCCAGCTCTCCTGGGTGTCAAACTCCATGCTGAGATCAAAGGAAAGGCAGAGAAACCAGTTCAGTCTCAAAGAATGTTCCTCTGAAGAAAACCACAGGAACTGAGAGATACCATTCCAGTGGAGACAGAAGGGCAGGCGGTGCATTCTGAAATTTGAGGAAAATAGAGGATCAAGGTACCCACACCAATGGAAAGAGCAGCTTCAGCAGGGCATCCCTGGTGGGGACCATTCACTGTGAGGCCAGGGAGGGCCTCGCATTTGTGGTGGAGAATGTCTGTCTCTGGAGCTAAAACACTGAGTTGAAATTCAGCCTCTTGAATCTCACATTCGTCTGCTAAGTAAACTCGGAGAACCTAGCTCATTTCTTAAACAGTGGGATGATTCCAGCCATTTGATATCAGTTTCCACTCCCAAGGTTGTTGGGACAATTAAAAGAGCAAATGTGGAAATGCAGACCCTAAAATCCTTGCAATGACAAAATACTTACTTTGTTATCCTCATTGATCTTCAAAGGCCAAGGTAAAGCCGTCTCCATCTGCATGTCACATGTAGCCAACTTAGATTCAGGGAGCTCTAGTAGGTCACCAAGGGGATTCCCTAGTTGGGACAACACACTGAGGAGTCAATGTCCACACTACCTGCCTTCCTGCAGGTGGATCAGCAGTAAATGCACACCTGGAAATAAGGTGCTTGTGGGCACTGGGGGAGTGAGGAGTACCTGGTTTGGGAATCTCTCTCTTCAGGAAGAAGCGGGAGGTGCTCTAGCCCAGGAGGCTGGAGACACAGCTGCAATACTGCAAAAGGACCCCTTAGCACTTCACCTCCTCCAACAGCTTGGGGATGCAGAGATTCCATACACCCATTTTACAGAGGAGCAAACTGAATTCAAGTCCACAAGAGGGACATACTGTTTCAATCCCAAAGATATTTGGGATTCTGGGATTCAAATACTGGGTCCCTTACCCAGAGCATCACGAGTCTCATCAATAGCTTCCTATTTCTCTCTGCACTGCACTTTCAGAGTCTAAATTGCCCTGCCTATCCTAATGCCATCTGGTCTCCGTTGGTCTTGTTCCAACTGAAAAAAAAAAACCCAACTATGACAGAAGGCCAGAAAAATGGGGTAACATTAGAAAGCACAAGTTTACTTATTATCAAATGACTGTACTTTTGAAAGTAATAAAAAACATTAATAGTCAAAGTTAGAATGAATACTGTTAATTTTATTGTGCACAGCATAAAAAAAGTGAAAAAGAATTGAACATATGAGTGTAACAAAAAAATTACTTATTATAGTACAAAAGATAACAAATGAGTGAAATTTCAACATGGATGTTACTTTTCTCTCCTTTAATTACAGAAAACTCCCCAAGCTCGTATTACATTAGAACATAGGCTCAGACAATTTAGCAAACATAGAGACAGTAAATACACATCTGAGAAAAAAACTCACCATCAATCTTTAGAAACATACAATCCAACAACAGTGAGGTAGAACTACAATGTTAAAAAAATGGTTTAACCCTAGCTGGTGTGGCTCAGTTTATTGAGTGCTGGCCTGAGAAACAAAAGATCACTTGTCCCATTCTTAGGGCACATACCTGGGTTGCAGGTCCCTAGTAAGGGGCGCACAAAAGACAACCACACATTATGTTTCTCTACCTTTCTCCCTCCCTTCCCCTGTCTAAACATAAATAAATAAAATCTTTTAAAAAAAGTTTAAATAAAAAAGTGACCAAACCAAATACTTTCTAACATGTGGAGGAAGTGAACGCCTAACACATTGCTAGAAGAATGAAAAAAATACAACTGATGTTGACCTCAAATGCTAATACCTACAAGTTAAACATTTACCTGCCCTGCAACTCAGTGCAATGAGTTACTATGGCAAAAGAAACATCTCCATAAAAATAATTATACACAAATACTTACGCTACCATTAAAATCATAAATTAGAAATAACCAAATTCAGTGGATATGTTCATAGTACTTTCTTCAAAGATGTTTCTCAGCAAAAATAGATGCATTATTATCATTTAAAAAACCTCCAATTATACATGTAAGTGAAAGCATAAAAAATACTATTATTTTCATCACAAAAAATTAAGTTAACTGCAAATTCATCTATGAGAATGGAATGTAAATCCATGTTTACTTACAGAGCTGTGATAGGCGGGAGAGATTAAAATGGCCATGAAGTAAATTCCCAGTGACAGTAAGGGATAGTATAATTATGGTGATGGTGTCAATGTCATATATAAGATTGATCCAATATTACACTTGAATTACGATGTTTACTAATAAAAGCTTTTAAAAATGGTTCAAGATTTTAGGGGCTCCAGCCACGATGGACGTGTAGGGAGATATGCACAACCAAAAGGATAATGAACCAATTTAAAAACAAAACACAACCAGAACTGCCAGAAAATCAAACTGTATTGAAATCCCAAAACAATGGAATTAAAAAAAAACCATTCATCCAGACTGGTAGGAGGAGCGGACATGGGAAGCCAGGGAGGAGGAGATCCCAAGACAAGGATGCGGCTGGTGGACTGGGGTGGTTGAAGTACAGTCTGGTCAACTGGGATATCCCGTTTTCGAGTGTGGATAAACTGGGAGGAACAACTGGAGAGTGAGATAAACAGCAGAATCCAGGGTTCCAGCCCAAGAAACTAAAGCCTCAAAACCTCTGGCAGTAAAAACCTGTGAGGGTTGCAGCACGTGTAGAAACTCTCAGTCTCACAGGAAAGTCCACTGGAGAGGCCCACGGGGGTCCTAGAACGTATAGAAGCTCACCCACCTGGGAATCAGCACCTAAAGGGCACAATCCACTTGTGGGAAGTGAAGAACAGTGAGGCAAGAGCTAAGCAAGCTGGCAAGCGGCACTGTTCCCTCTCTGACCCCTCCACAACATACAGTGCCACAACCCAGTGAAGCAGGTTGCCCTGCACTGGTGAATACCTAAGGCTCCACCCCTTAAATCTTAACAGGTGTGCCCAGACAAAGAAATATGGCCCAAATGAAAGAACAGATTAAAACTCCAGGAATTCCAGCTAAGACGAAGGCATAGGTAGACACACTTTGCTTCCTCACACAACCAAAAGAACAACAAATTTAAGAACAAAAAACAACCAGAACTGCCAGAAAATCAAACTGTATGGAAGTCCAACAACCAAGGCGTTAAAAAAACATTCATCCAGACAGGTAGGGGTACAGATGGACAGCTAGGGTGGAGAGGAAACATGGCAAGGTGGTGGCTGGAGGACTGGGTGGGCAAGATAGCACCTGGCAGTCTCACATTTGCATGCGGATAAAACAGGAGAGACAGCAGGGGAGCAAGACAGACCGAAGAGCCCAGGGTTCCAGAGCAGGAAAAGAAAACCTCAAAACTTCTGGCTGTAAAAATCTGTGGAGGTTGTGGTGGTAGGAGTAACTCCCAGCCTCACAGGAGTGTCCGCTAAAGAGACCCAAAGGGACCTACAACATACACAAACACACCCACCTGGGATCAGCACCAGAAGAAACCAATTTGCTTCTGGGTAGCAAGGGAAGTCACTGAAAGCCAGCAGAGCTGAGCGAGTGGCATTGTTCCCTCTCTGACCCCTCCCCCACATACAGTGTCACAATGCAGAAAAATGAGTTGCTCTACCCCTTACAGTGTTATCAGGTACGCAAAGACAAAGAAATATGGCCCCAATGAAAGAACAGATCAAAACTCAAAAACAGAACTAAGTGACAAACAGATAGCCAACCTATCAGATGCACAGTTCAAAACACTGATAATCAGGATGCTCACAGAGATGGTTTGGTATGGTAGCAAAATAGAGGAAAAAGTGAAGGCCATGGAATGCGAAATAAAGAAAAATACACAGAGAACCAACAGTGGAGGGAAGGAAACCAGGACTCAAATCAATGACTGCGAGCAGAAGGAAGAAATATTCAACAAGAACAGCACAAAGAAAAAAGAATTCAAAAAAATGAGGAGAGGCTTAGGAACCTCCAGGACAACTTTAAACATTCCAACATCCGAATCATAGGGGTACCAGGAGAAAATAGCAAGAAATTGAGAACTTATTTGAAAAAATAATGGGAGAATTTCCCCAATCTGGCAAAGGAAATAGACTTCCAGGAAGTTCAGGAAGCTCAGAGAGTCCCAAAGAAGTTGGACCCAAGGAAGCACACACCAGGGCACGTCATAAGCACATCATCCAAAATTAAAGATAAGGAGAGAATCTTCAAAGCAGAAAGAGAAAAGGGGAGAGTTACCTACTACAAAGGAGTTCCCATAAGACTATCAGCTGATTTCTCAAAAGAAATCTTACAAGCAAGAAAGGGCTGGAAAGAAGTATTCAAAGTCATGAAAAGGAAGGGCCTACATCCAAGATTACTCTATCCAGCAAAGGTAGCATTTAGAATGTAAAGGCAAATAAAGTGGTTCTGAGATAAGGTAAAGCTAAAGGCATTCATCATCACCAAGTCCTTATTATATGAAATGTTAAAGGGACTTATTTAAGGAAAAGATCAGAACTATGAACAGTAAAATGACAACAAACTCAGCCATGGTTGGTGTGGCTAAATGAGTGGACTGAGCACTGGCCTGCAAACCAAAGGTTCGCTGGTTTGATTCCCAGTCAGGGCACACGTCTGGGTTTGCACCAGGCCCCCAGCAGGGGGCACAAGTTTTCTCTCCTTCTCTTTATCCGTCCCTTCTCCTCTGTCTAAAAATAAATAAAATCTTTGAAACAAAAACTAAGCTAAGAGCCAGGCACACAGCCCTGGACTGGTGTGGCTCAGTGGATTGAGTGCTGGCCTGGGAACCGAATGGTTGTCAGTTCCCTTCCCAGTCAGGGTACATGCTTGGGTTGCAGGCCAAGTCCTTGGTTTCGGGCATGTGAGAGGCAACTGCTTGTCTCCCACACAAGGGTGTTTCTCTCCCTCTCTGTTTCTTCCCCTTTCCCTCTCTCTAAAAATAAGTATCATCTTTTAAAAAACTAAGCAAACAACTACAACAGGTACAGAATTATAGATGGACAATAGAGTTGACATGGAGAGTTATCAGCAGGGAGGAGGGAGAGAATGGAGTCTGAAAAAGGTACAGGGGATAAAATGCATAATGGTTAGGTACAAACTAGACGGGGGGAGATTAATAATATAGGAAATGGAGAAACCAAAGAATTTATATGTACAACCCAGGGACATGAATGATGGGGCTGAGGGGAATGCTGGAGGCAGGAGGGGTGCAAGGTAGAGGGGGATGAAGGAGAGAAAAAAAAATGGGACAATTTTAATGACATAATAAAATATACTTAAACATAAAAATGATTCAAGATTTTATAGATTTGTATAGTCAACTTTTTGGAAAATAGATTTAGAAACTTTATATTCAACTCATGTTTGTATGTGCTCTGAGAGAGACTTTGCCTCAGTGACAGTAAATACAGTCAATTAAAACTCAGTGAAACCCCCTGGCTATGGTGACTCAGTCGACTGAGTGCCAGCCTGTGAACCGAAGGGTTGCCGGTTTGATTCCCAGTCAGGGTACATGCCTGGGTTGTGGGCCAGGTCCCTGGTGGGGCACATATGAAGGGCAATTAGATGATGTTTCTCTCCCCCTCTTCCCATCTCTCTACAAACAAATAAATAAAATCTTAAAAGATAAAAAAACAAAACCACCTCCCCTCACTGACACCAGCATCACTGATGGATTGGTCCAAATAGCAACATCCCTCAATTATACAATTTTTATTTTACTTTCTTTACCAGGGCATCAGTGGCCCTACATGAACATCTCAGAGGTGACAGAAATCCACATTTGTCTTTAATCATACTGATTTCAGAGAGAGTAACGGAGGACACTGCTGCTGCAAAAAGACTTCCCATATTCACAGCACACATAAGGCCTCTCTCCTGTGTGAACTCTCTGATGGTGATGAAAGCCAATGCTACTGGAAAAAGATTTTCCACATTTAATGCACTCATAAGGCCTTTCTCCAGTGTGAACTCTCTGATGATAACGGAGGCTAGTTGTACCGATAAAAGATTTTCCACATTCACTGCACTAGTAGGGCCTTTCTCCAGTGTGAATCCTCTTGACGGTAATGGAGATTACTGCTACTGTAAAAAGGTTTCCCACCATCACTGCACTCATAAGGCCTTTCTCCAGCATGGACTCTGATGATAATGGAGGCCAGTAGTACTGGTAAAATATTTCCAACATTCGCTGCATTCATAAGGCTTTTCTCCAGTGTGACCTCTCTGATGATAAAGGAGCTTAGTGCTCCTGGAAAAAGATTTCCCACATTCACTGCACTTATGAGGCCTTTCTCCTGTGTGAACTCTCTGATGATAACGGAAGCCAGTATTACGGGCAAAAGATTTCCCACATTCACTGCATTCATAAGGCCTTGCTCCAGTGTGAACTCTCTGATGATAACGGAAGCCAGTATTACGGGCAAAAGATTTCCCACATTCACTGCATTCATAAGGCCTTTCTCCAGCATAGACTCTCTGATGATAACGGAAGCCAGTATTACGGGCAAAAGATTTCCCACATTCACTACATTAATAAGGCCCCTCTCCAGTGTGACGTTTCTGATGGTAACGAAGGTAATCAATTCTGGTAAAAGATTTCCCACATTTACTGCACTCATAAGGCCTTTCTCCTGTGTGAACTCTCTGATGATGACGAAAGCCAACGCTGCTGGAAAATAATTTTCCACATTCACTGCACTCGTAAGGTTTTTCTCCACTGTGAACTCTCTGATGATAATGGAGATTACTGCTACTGTAAAAAGATTTCCCACATTCACTGCACTCATAAAGCCTTTCTCCAGCATGGACTCTCTGATGATACCGGAGGCCAGTATTACTGGTAAAAGATTTCCCACATTCACTGCACTCATAAGGCCTTTCTCCAGTGTGAACTCTCTGATGATAATGGAGGCTAGTGCTATTGGAGAAAGATTTCCCACATTCACTGCACTCATAAGGCCTTTCTCCAGTGTGAACTCTCTGATGAATACGGAGGCCAGTCGTACTGATAAAAGATTTCCCACATTCACTGCACTCGTAAGGCCTTTCTCCAGTGTGAATTCTCTGATGATAATGGAGATTACTGCTACTGTAAAAAGATTTCCCACATTCACTGCATTCATAAGGCCTTTCTCCAGCATGAGATCTCTGATGATAACGGAGGCCAGTAGTACTGGTAAAAGATTTCCAACATTCGCTGCACTCATAAGGCCTTTCTCCAGTGTGAACTCTCTGATGATAAAGGAGCTTAGTGCTACTGGAAAAAGATTTCCCACATTCACTGCACTCATAAGGCCTTTCTCCTGTGTGCACTCTCTGATGACAACGAAGAACGCTGATTCTGGTAAAAGATTTCCCACATTCGTTGCATTCATGAGACCTTTCACGTCTGTGAACACTCTGATGATAACAAAGTCCAGTGCTACTGGTAAACGTTTTCCCACATTCACTGCATGAGTAAGGCCTCTCCCCAGTGTGAATTCTGAGATGATAACGAAGGCCGGTGCTACTGGTAAAAGATTTCTTACATTCACTGCACTCATAACATCTCTCTCCAGGGTGACCTCTCTGATAATGGCTGAGGGCAGAATAACGTTTTCTTTTTCCAGTACTCACCCCAGATGTTGAGATTACAATTGGCCTGTCCCTGGTGTGTGTGGCCTGTTGTTGGAGATGTCCTGACCTTGCATTGATGTCCTGCCCAACCTCTACACAGGTTAAAATCTTCTGTGACACATCAAAATTGCTGTCCTTTGCAACTGACATCCTGTCCACAACTCTTATGAAAGGCTTCTCTCCCACACAGTGCTCCTGGTACTGGTGAGACTTTGTACTGAAATAAAATCGTTTTGCACAGGCCCCACACCTCAGCAGTTTAAGGCTATGTTGTGTTTCATGCTCCTGAATAAAGTGAAAAATGTCTCTCAAGACAGGCCCACAACTCTCACAAGGGTGCCGCTTCCTGGAACATAAAGCTAACCTGGGATTCTTCGTTTGTGACATTTTTGCAGAAAAATTCTGTTCAATTGGTGCTTCCTCATCCTCTGCTCCACAACAGCAACCTGAACAAAAGGAAACATTGGTGAAGAATATGTTGACTTCACAGGGAAGGAATATATTACTAATCAGAAATGGCCATCTGCAACAGCTACATGATTCTATGAAATGATTTTCAAGACAAGTGAATTAGACTCTGAAGAAATGGCTGTTACATGTTACTTGGGCTCAAAGGTCACTCAGTGATGGAGACCTCACCAAAGTAGAGACACGAGCATAAGATGGGACACCAACAAGAGAGACAAGGTCTACTAGTTGTTCCTCCACAGATGGCTTCCTGTACAAACTTTCCTGCTAGTGATGTGAGGCTGTGTAGAATAATTTGAATGAACTCAGACTCATTGACACCAAATGTAGAACAGCATATGATATTCAAGGTCAGTATAATGATACTTGCGCACTGCAAGGCCCTGCAGGCATGGAACAGGGTTGAAGTGAAGTAAAAAACAAAAACAAAAACAAAAAAACAACCCTGCAAGAGTAATGGTCAAGGTGCAAAATTTAGAAAGAGCAAGATGATCCATGGGCTGGGAATCTGAGTAGAATGTGATAACCTAGAACTGAGTAGTTGACAACGTGTCAGCAATAAACAAGCATAGGTTCAATTCGGTAAGGAACTGGCAATGGTATCAAAATAGTGCTGAACAAAATGGGTTCCTAGTTATAGCTTGAAGAACACACTGGCGTCAAACACTTTCCAACAGCCCTTCAGCAAGTTAAGAAAGCCCCTGGGTTCACCCTGCCATGGATAGCATCATGCTTTTCCTGGGATGCACAAGTGATTCTTAAATCCCAGTTGAGGCCCTACATGGAAGACAGATGATATAAACGTTAAGAGAAAAACAGAATACATATATGGCCAGCAATGTACAGGAATAAAGCACAAGAGAGATCAGGGAACAAAGATCTATATGAGTGAGGTCAGGAAGATGTCCAAGTAATAAGAAATATCAGATTTCCTCCTTCTTTCAGAACAATGAGACAGCTGTCCACAAACAGAATCAACCACGGGGAAGGGGCATAAGAATCCAATTATGACAAACAACTAATTAGCCCTGACCAGGTAGCTCAGTTGGTTAGAGCTTCATCCCGATACACCAAGGTTGCGGGTTCAATCCACAGTCATGGCATACACAAGAAGCCGCAAACGAATGCATAAATAACTGGAACAACAAATCAGTGTTTCCCTCTCTATCCACCCCCCCTCTCTCTAAAACCAACTGCAAAAAAAGAAAAAGAAAAAAGAAAAAGAAAAGCAGCAAAGCAAAAGAGGGAAAAACAGATAACAGCCTAGAAATGATTACTGGGAAGATGAGGGTACCAAACATATTTGAAAACTCCAATGCTCAAGAACAAGGGTCAGAGTGACTCTATCAACCACTGTGATTGCACTCAAGTTGACCTTAGTGGGCTGTTATGTGAAAAACACTGGAAATTTTTCTTTCCAAGAACCACAGAGGCCCTTAAAACATCTGTAAATTTCCCACATTTACATGTCCAAGGACCCGATGTGTTTCTCAGCATGAAAGCCAAAAGAATTTCCTTTGTCCACAACCTAGTGCAGAAGAAAAACAAAAATCAGTATGTCTTCAGCAGTATCTGCCACCAAAGTCTCCTAAACACTCGACTGTCTGTGTAAGGACACGCTGAGCCACTGTGCACCTTTTATTTTTTGCTTTTCTGACCTTGGTTCATGCAGTATCAAGGAGAATAGGCTTGTGGGCCTTGTCTCAAGCTTGAAACACAACACCCCACACAAACAGCATTCCTGAATCCACATGTAGATAAATCTATTTCTCTAGCCAGAATTGGTCCATAGGTTAAAAGGAGTAACTGCTTCATCAAATGAACAGACATCAATACAGGATGAAAAAAACATACTAAACACAAGGACACCACCATGAGAAGATAATTTTTCAATAACCGATACAAAACAAATGGACATCTATAAACAGCCTGATAAGAAATCCAAATTATTTAGTTTTAAAAATGTCTATGAGCTACATCAGAACATAAACAAAACCAACTTAAGGAAGAAACCAACACAGAAACACACAGACGATATCAGAGAGAAAAATGAAAAAATAATAAAACAGAAACACTGGAGTTAGTAAATTGCAATAACCAAAATAAAAAATGAAGAGTATCAAGAGCATACCTGAAGAATGTCATCTCTAAGAGGACATCTGAAAGCATCAATGTAGAAAGAAATAAAGAGGGAAATAAAATTTTTAAATTTAGCAGGGTGAATTAAGTAACACTGTCAAGATAACAGATATATGCATTATAGAAATCCCTGGAAACACTGGGTATCGTGGCGGTGGGCTGAGACAGAGAAAAGCGAAGGGAGGAAAGGAGAAAGATAGGGAGAACATTTATTTAAAGAAAATAGCAGAAGACTGACTTCCCAAATCAGAAAAAAAGCTGTGAATAATCAAGTGCACACATTTTCACCGGTCCCTCTACAGACTCAATGCAAACTGGATTTCAGCAAGAGACATTACAATGAAAATGTCTTAAGTCTTTCTTTTTCTTTAGATCAAGGTTATTTATTTTGTTTGTTTGTTTGTTTATTTTAAGAGATTAGGGAAGGGAGGGAGAAAGAGAGGGAGTGAAACATCAATGTGTGGTTGCCTCTCTTGTGCCCCCTACTGGGAACTTGGCTGGCAATTGAGGCATGTTCCCTAACCGGAACTGAACCAGCAACCCTTTGGTTTGCAGGTCCACACTCAATCCACTGAGCCACTCCAGCCAGGGAGAAAGCATCTTAAGTCAAAGGCAAAGACAGCTGTGAAAATTGAAAGAAAATAGAAACTGATCTCCCACAGAGGAAATGCGTGAGTAAAGGTATCAGTAAGTTCCTCTGAAAAACACTTGCAGACTAGGAGAAAATAAAATGATATATTCAAAACACTAAACGGAAACTATCAATATTTTATCCAGAAAATCTTTTTTGGGAATTAAATATCTTCCCAGACCAAAAAAAAAAGCTAAGGGAGTTCAATGCCACTCAACCTGACTTTTTAGAAATGCCCCAAGTAGTTCTTGAAGATGAAATAAAAGAATACGAAATAGAAACTCAAGTACATATGAAGCGTAAATATCACAAGTAGAGTCAAGCATGAAATCACATTCACAATACTGTAATATCGGGTTGGTGCAAAGTATCGTCCATAACTATTATAAAGGTTAAATATTAAATCTAGTAAAAATAACGAAGCTAACATTGCGTACCTTAATACATACACAATAATAAAAGATGTGAATTGTGATGTGAAAAACATGTTCAGGGGTGTGTGGTGTCGTCAAAGGGTAGAATATTTGGATGCAACTGAAAGTATTATCAGGATAAAATAGATTGTAAAGAGTATGAGTGGTTTTTATGTAAGTCTTTTGGAAATCACAGGCAAAAATGCATGTAACACACATACAAAAGAGAAATACATTCAAACAGCAATGTGAAACCATCACATCACACATGAAGACTGCAAGACTGGAAGGCAGAAAGTACAAGGCAAGGAAACCAGAAACCACCCTTGCTGGTGTGGCTCAGTGGATTGAGCATTGGCCTGTGAACCAAAGGGTTCTGGTTCAATTCCCATTGTAGGACACATGCCTGGGTTGCATGCTAGGTCCCCAGCAGGGGGTTTGCAAAATGCAACCACATGTTGATGTTTTTCTCCCCTTCTTTCCCTCTATAAAAATAAATAAAATCTTAAAAAACAAAACAAAACAAAAAAACCCAGAAACCAAATGAAGAAGTGACAATTATAATTCCTTAAAAAAAATTCTCCAATCAAATGACATAGAGGGCCTGAAAAGATAAGACAAAAAAGAACAGGCACAATACATGCTGCCTACAAGATACATTGAACCTCATATGTACACAAACAGGCTGAAAATAAAGAGATGCAAAAAAAATTATAGGAAACCCAAAGAGGGCAGGAGTAGCTTAAATTTTATCAGATGAAACAGACCACCGTAAAAACTGTCAAGAGACTATAAGTTCATGAATGATAAATTAGTCAATTCATCAATGGGATAACAACTTTAAGTATTATGCACTAAACAGAGCAACTAACTATATTAAGCAAATGCTATCCGATATGAAGGCAGAAAAAACCCCCAATATTTGTAAGGAACTTTAATACTGCCCCTCCAGAAGAGTAGATCATCCCATCCAAAAGCAATAAGGAATTACTGAAGATCAACTACATTTTAGAGCAGTAAGATAATAAATGTATACAGAACATTCCATCCAAAAGTTGCAGGTGATGCATTCTTATCATGTGCACATGAAGTATTTTCTAGGTAGATCATATTATTAGGTGAAAAATCAAGTTTCAAACTTTGACAAAAAAGTCACGTCAAGTATCTCATTTCATCACAATGTATGAAACTTAAAATCCATTTTAGTTTCTAGAAAGCTTGAAAATTCGCACATATGCTGAAATTAAACACCACAATCCTGAACAATCAGTGGGTAAAGAAAATCCCCCCAAAACAAGAGAATTGCCTTGCACCTCAGAAAATGATAAACACAAGAAAGCTAGTAAATATTCATAAGTAGTAGAAATAATATATATTAGAAAAAATACAATGAAAGAGACAAGACAGAAAAAGAAGGATCTAAGGGCTACTTTTTTGTAAGATACAGAAGTTGGCAAACCTTTACCTAGACTAAAACAAAAGAATCAAAAGTCTCAAATAAATTAAAGGACAATTAAGATAGACATTATACCTGACATTATGAACCACGAGGTCTCAGAAGAGACATTGGCAGACACCATGTTCCTACATAGAAAAAACTGTCAAAATCCCACTATGAGCTTCAGAAATTAGTAAAGAACTTCAGAGCTCTCCAAGTAACTGAGTTGGAAAGAGCACAGTCCCAATGTGACAAGATGGTGGGTTCAAGTCCCCATCAGGGAACATGTAGGGGGCAGCGAATAAATGTGTACGTGGGTGGAACTGCAGATTAATGTTTCTCTGCATTCTCATTCACATTCCCTTCCTCTCTCTAGAATCATTATGTAAAAAACTTAATTAATTATGAGAAAAGTTACAGGGTACAAATACCAACATACAAACCTCAGTTCCATTTTTATACAGTAATAATAAATTCTTTGATAAAAAAAGGAAGAGTCACGTTCAGGTGGCCCAGTCAGTTGGAAGAGTGTGCCTTACACCAAAAGGTTATGGGTCTGAATCTAGTTCAGGGTACACAAGTATGTTGCAGTCTGGGCACATATATGAGGGAACTGATCTATGTTTCTCTCTCATATCCATGACTCTCCATCTCTCCCCTTTTCTCCCTCTGTCTCTAAAATCAACATACATATCCTCAGGTCAGAATTTAAAAGTAAATAAAAAAAAAGAAGATGGTAGTCCATATTACAAGAGCATCAAAAACAATAAAATACCAGGGATAATTCAACCAAAAAAGGTAAAAATCTATACACTGAACCTGGCAGGACAGTGATAAATGAAGTAAAGGACTGGAAGACAGTCGGTGTTCTTAGATATAAAATTTAATATCATTAATATCATTAAAATCACCATATTACACAAACCAATCTACAAATTAAATGCAATTTTGATAATTCCAATGGTATTTTACACAGAAATAAAAAAGAATCCTGAAATGTATAAAGCCTTAAAGACTTCAAACAGCAAAAGCAATCCTGAGCAGCAAGGACAAATTTTGTTGTCATTACACTCCCTGACTTCACTTTATAACAAAGCCAAAGCAACAGTGTGTTATTAAAATGAACAAAGAAACACACATCAATAGAACATAACAGAGAACACAGAAGTAAACACAGGCACCAATAGTCAACCAATCTTTGACAAATACCTGAAGTCATGCAAGAAAACAAACAATGTTTCCTTAACTAATGGTGCTGGGAACAACTGACATTCACATGTAAAACAAAACTGGAAAGCAGTGATTAAAAGTAGCTCAAACTGCATGAAAAAATTAAGTATCAGCCCTAAAACTTTGAACAACTTCAAGGTAACACAGAGAAGAACCTTTAGAGCAGGGGTGTTCAACCTGCGGCCTGCAGCCCCATGCGGCCCAGGATGGCTATGAAGGTGAGCCAACATAAAAATAATAAATTTACTTAAAACATTGAGATTTTTTTGTAATTAGGTGTCGTGAAGTCACATAAAATAAACATACGTATACTCTTCTTCCAGTGTGGCCCAGGGACACCAAAGGTTGCACACCCCTACTTCAGCGATTTGGTTGTTTTATCATCTATATAATTATTTTTAAAAAGAGTTTATTTATTTTTTCTTTCTGAGAAAGAGAAAGACAAGGAAACAAAGAGGGAGAAAAACATTAATGTGCAACACAAACTTCGATCTTAATGTCTCTCGCACACCCCAATGTGGGGACCCTGCCAGCAACCCAGACGTGTTCCCCAACCAGGAATCCAAGTGCCCACATTTCAGTTTGTAGGATGACACTCAACCCACTGAGGCACAACAGTCAGGACTGAAGACGGGTTTTTGAAATAATCTTCCAAATGTGACAACAACACAATGCAAAACAGCATATATTAACAGCCCAAATTACAACAAATGAAAAAGCTTCTTCACAGAAGAGCATTTAACAAAATAAAATGAAAAGGCAGCCCTGACAGTGTGGGTGAGTTGATAGGGACTCATCCTGCAAACCTACATTTGGCCTGTTGGGTTCAAGATCAGGGCATATGACTGGGTTGGGAGTTCAGTCCCCAGTAGTGGTTGAAGAGAAAGGCAAAGTTCAATGTTACTCTCTCACACTGATGGTCAGCTCCCTCTATTTCTCCCTTCTTTCCAAAAATAGAAATCAATAAATCTATTTAAAAAATCTATTAAAATCTATTAAAAAAGAGAAAGAAAAGGAAACCTCAGGATGGGAGAAATTACTTGAAAAACACATAAAAAAAGGCTTAGAAATATTTGAGTTTTGTTCAGAAAATGTTACATTAATCATTTTGATTTCTGAATAAATAATAAAGTTATGTCTATACAATACTGTAGGATATTGACAAAGCAATACATAATCTAAAAAAAAAATTCTCTACAAAACTTATTTAAAATTACTTTATCACTATACACGGGTAAACAGCATCTGAGCCTGCTGAAAAACTAGTAACACTAGACATGCTTAATCCAGTGTTCCCCAAAAAAGTGAAATGGGGGGAAAAAAAGGAAAGAGGAAAAGCATTATCTGTGAAGCCAATTGAAAAAGCCACGTACTACCGGAGAAGGCATATATAAAATACCAAGGGACTCAAAACTCATAAGCCAAGAAAATTGCACAACAATTTTCCAAATAAAAAAGTACAAATGTCCCTGGCTGGTATGGCTCAGCAGACTGAGTGCCATCTGTGAAACAAAGGGTCACCGGTCCAATTCCCAGACTAAGGCACATGCCTGTGTTGTGGGCCAGGTCCCCACTGGGGGACGTGTGAGAGGCAAAAGCACATTGATGTTTCTCACCCTTTCTCTCTCCTTTCCCCTCTCTAAAAATAAATCAATAAAGTCTTTTTTTTTAAATGTACAAAAACAAAGTATGTACAGATGACCAGCAGGAATAGAGAAAAAGCTTTCTCCCTAATCAAGGTGGTATTCATTAGGCTCCCTGAAATATTACAAACCACTTACAGTATCAGTTTTGGTACTTCAGGGGGAGAAAAGGGCAGTGCAAACAAGCCGGCCCTACCACGGAAAGCAACTACTCAGAAAACTGGAAAATCAAGCAGTGCTTACAGTCCACGTGTGAGGAGAGGGCAACCCCTAGAGAACAGGAGGCATGGGAAATGCAATGCAAAGTCCAAGTAACTGGTGAGAGTGAGTCTTACCCAGCGAGGATATAAGTTCAAAGTTCTCCAGCATCACATCCAGGTACAGGCGTCTCTGACTGTCATCGAGGAGGCACCATTCTTCCCTGGAGAAGTACAGGGCAATGTCCGCAAAGGACACACCAACCTGCCAGAATTGAGACAAATGAAGCCAGAGCCGTCTATCTCAGAACCACAATACTGCTTCTTACAAATCCTGCCCACGCTCCATTTCCTCCAGGGATCCCCACTTCACTGTGGACACCAGGCCCTAAGCGAGTGCTGGCTGCTCTCTCCTCACGGTCCCATCAGTGTTACCACGTTCGGCAACAGCAGCAAGGATGCGCCACGCGGGGGAGAGCAGGTCAATGCCATCTAAGCCCTGGGCCGTGACTGTCGGGTCCCATTCTCCCCGACAAGCAAGCCCACTGAGTCTCCCAGATCAGGCCTCCATGACACAGCCAGACACGGGCACGAACTTTACACTGAAGTCCCCGCAACAGGTTCGCACTTAACTCTGGTTATGCACACAACTGTAGAACGCCGGCCTCCTCTCCATCTTCAGGCCCCAGGTTCCCTCCCTCAGCTCGGCCACCTTCCTGCTCCATAGCACAGCTCTCTCGCTCTCGCGCGCTCTCTCTCTCGCTCGCTCTCTCTCTCTCTCTCTCTCTCTCTCTCTCTCTCTCTCTCTCTCTCTCTCTCTCTCTCCTCACCCGAAACCAGGCGCACGGCTTCCAGGGAGTGCCTGACAGGTTCCAGCCGGACCCGTAACAAGCCCAGCTTTCTCCTCGATCCCACGGCCGGATAAAGTCCCCAAGGGAGCTCTAAAGCCCTCCCTGCCTGCCTTCTGATCTTGGCTTCGGAAGTCACCACCCCGATCAGAGCGGGACTTTCAGATACGAATAACCCCCGTCCACTCTACACGGTACTTGCCGCGCCCTCAGACACCACAACACTCCTCTCTCCAGTGAGCCTTCCTCACCGTCCTTGCCGCGAGGCCTGGGAGCTTCCTGTGTGAGACGATGAAGGAGGGAAGGAGAAGGCCGTGCACTAACCTCAGCCGGGCCTCTCGGCGAGGCCGCCAATGGACGCTGCGGGTGAGGCCGGGAAGTAACGGCGGGAGACAAGGGCGCCAGGGGCCCGGCGGCGCCTGTCCAGGGCTTGGCCCTGCTCACCCGGGCACGGTCGCCCAGCCCCTTACTCTCCTGTGGGCTGTGTGGACCACGGCTCAGGTGCCTTCCCAAGCCCCGCATCTCCACCGGCGCCGAGACCGGGAGCTTCTGAGCACGTGGGTCAAGGGATTACGGAAGACGACAAAAAGTCCGTTGTGACACCGGAAGTCCCGCCCTACACGGTGTGCACACACAAAAACACACCCCAACCACATTTTCTGACCCTTCATTGGCTAGGCGTGGCGGTATTACTCCTACGGTATTCTGGGTAATATGGTTTAGAGTCCACAGCGGTGATGCAAGATATTCCCACAGGTGTCAAAAAGACTGTGATACGCCGCTATGGCGAATAGGAAATGACACGTCCTGACAAAAGACACACCTTGAAAATGGCTAAAGGAAGTTTTCACCTTTCCCTGGCCAAGCGGCTTGAGTTCATGTTAATAAAACCAAATTATCTGTGAACCCAGTGAGTCATAATAAAAGAGGTAGCTGGTGTGGCTCAGTGGATTTAGTGCCGGCCAGTGACCCAAGAGGTCCAGGTTCAATTCCCAGACAGGAGACATGCCTGGGTTGTAGAATAGGTCTCAAGGCGGGGGAGCGTGTGCGAGGCAATCAGTCCGTGTATCACTCACACATTGATGCTTCTGCCCCTCTCTTTATCCATGCCTTCTCCTCTCCTTAAAAGTAAATAAATAAAAATTTTAAAAAAATAAAAAGGAGGTAGGCTTTCATTAGAGTCTGCAAAATTTTATCACACAAATGAGGGACTTATACCATCATATATGTATGTGGCAAATACAACACAAGACTGTGGGATTCACCTTTGGGGGGGAAAGAACTATGATGCATAATATAAACATTAAATAGAGGTCTTCTGTTTAGATATAATTTGAACGTCAATTAGAAATATTTTTTTAAAATGTTGTACAATTGAATTCTGATGGTTACTGGTATTTTTGTTAATGTGAAAACTGTATTGTAATTATACTGAAAGAAAATTTGCCTTTCACAGACATATTTAAGACATCAGGTGAGATGATGTTTCAACCATTCTCAATGTGATGAGATTACAAACATATGGATTATATTTAGAATAAAATACCTATTCATAATGAAACTCTCCTATGTATAGCTCAGACACTGACCTATGTATAGCTCATGAAATATATTAAAAATAAGTAAATTTGTGTATGCATATATGCAATAAATATTATAAGTCAATAATAATTTGTAAGAAATTTTCCTATTTAAAATTCAGAGTACACTGCCTTCTCTGGTGTGGCTCAGTGGATTGAGTGGCAGCCTGTGAACTGATAGTTTGCTGATCTGATTCCCAGCAGGAAGTCCTCTGCTGGGGTCCTGTGAAAGGGTTAGGCAACTGATTGATGTATCTCTACCTCTCCTTCTCCTTCTCTTCCTCCCTCTCTATAAATAAATAAAATCTAAAAAAAAAATCTTTTCCTATTTAATATTCGGATTATATCTCCTCAGCTGGTGTGGCTCAGCTGATTGAGTGGGAGATGGCAAATCACAACATCACAGGTTTGATCCCCAGTCAGCGCACAGGCCTGGGTCCAAGTCCAGGTCACCAGTATGGTGTGCACAACAGGCAACCACACTGATGTTTCTCTCCTTCTCTTTCTCATTCTCTAACTAAATAAAATAATCAATCAATCTTTTGAAAAAAGTTAAAAAGAATTGAACATATCATCTAAACACACAAAAAATTTACTTAATACAGTAAAAAAGGCAACAAATGGCCTTGCCTGGCATGGCTCAGTGGATTGAGTGCCTGCCTGTGAATCAAAAGGTCTCTGGTTCAATTCCCCATCAGGGTACATGCCTGGGTTGAGGGCCGGGATCCCAGTTAGGGGCGCAGGAGTGGCAAACATGACTGATATGTCTCACACACATCGATGTTTCTCTCTCTCTTTCTCCCTCCCTTACTCTCACTCTAAAACCCAATAAATAATTTTTTTTAAAGGCAACAAATGAGTGGAATTTCAACATGGATCTTTGTTTTTTCTTTAATTATAAAAAAATTCCCAAACTCATACCAGATTGGACAGAACATAGTCTCAGACAATTTAGCAAACATAGAGACACAGCAAATACACATATGACAAAAAGTTCACCATGAAACCTTAGAAAAATACGATCCAAGAGTAAGGTCGAACTACAATGTTAAACAAAAATAAAAGTTTATATAAGAAAATGAGTGACCAAGCCAAATACTTTCTAGAATGTGGAGGAAGTGAATCCCTCACACCCTCACACACTGCTGGAGGACTGCAAAAAGGTACAGTCGATGTTGGCCACAAATTGCTAATCTCTGTAAGTTAAACTTTCACCTCCCCTACAACTCAGACTGTACGATGAGTTATTGACAAAGGCAAATGAAATGTCCATATAAACAATTATATACAAATATTTATGCCAGCATTAAAGTCAAAAATTAGAAATAACTGAATTCAATGGATACACCCATAGTGCTTTCTTTAAAGATAAGAATGTTTCCCAGCAGAAAGAGATGAGCTACTAATATACCATTACTAAATCTCCAATTATATAGACAATGTAAATGAAACCATAAAAAATACCATTATTCTCATCATATAAAATTAAACTGCAAATTTATTTATGAGAATGCAATGTAAATCCATGTTTACTTATGGAACTGTGAAGGATGCGAGAGGTTAAAATGGTCACGAAGTAAATTCCCAGTGACACTATGGGACAGTATTATGACTATGATGATGGAGTCAGTGCCATGTATAAGTGAAGACTGATCCAACATTACAGTTGAATTATGATGTTTACTAATTAAAGCTTTTTAAAATGCTTCAGGATTTATTAAATTTGTATATCCAACTCTTTTTGAAAATAGGTTTAGCCACTCTATATTCTAGTTCTCATGAGCCCTGGGAGAGATTTTGCCTCAGTAAGAGCAAAGAGAGTCAACAATAAAAACTCACTGAAAACAGAAGAGCTGCTGGCGCAGTCAAAATAGCAACATCCCTAATTATAGATTAACATTTTCTTTATTTTCCTTTACCAGGGCACCAGTGCTCTGACATGAACATAAAAGAGGTAACAGAAATCCACATTTGTTTTTTCATTTTATCAATTTTAGAGGGAAAGAGAATGAGGCATCTATGTACAAATGGACATCTATGTACAGCTTGATAAGAAATCAAAACTATTTAGTTTAAAAAATGTCTATGAGCTACATCAGAATATAAACAAAACCAACTTAAGGAAGAAACCAACATAGAAACATATGGACAATATCAGAGAGAAAAATGAAAAAATAATAAAACAGAAACACTGGAGTTGATAAAATGAAATGACCAAAATAAAAAATGAAATAAAGAGTATCAAGAGCATACCTGAAGAATGTCATCTCTAAGAGGACATCTGAAAGCATCAACGTAGAAGGAAATAAAGAGGGAAATAAAATTTTTAAATTTAGCAAGGTGAATTAAGTAACACTGTCAAGATAACAGATATATGCATTACGGAAATCCCCGGAAACACTGGGCATGCTGGTGGTGGGCTGAGACAGAGAGAAGCGAAGGGAGGAAAGGAGAAAGATAGGGAGAGCATTTATTTAAAGAAAACAAGCTGAAGACTGAGATCCCAAATCGGAAAAAAAGCTGTGAATAATGAAGTGGACACAGTCTCACAGATCCCTATACAAATTCACAGCAAACTGGACTTTTCCAAGAGACATTATAATGAAAGTGTTTTAAACCAAAGGTAAAAAAGAACTGTGAAAGCAGCAAGAAAATACAAAGTACCCTAGCTGGTGCGGTTCATGGGATTGAGGGTTGGCCTACAAACTGAAAGTTTCCTGGTTCAATTCTCAGTCAGGTCACATGCCTGGATTGCAGGCCAGGTTCTCCGTTGGGGGCATGCAAGAGGCAATTAGATGATGTTTCTCTCACACATGGATGTTTCTCTCCCTCTCTTTGTCCCCATCACCTTCCCTCGCTCTAAAAATAAATAAATAAAATCTTTAAAAAAAAAAAAAGGCAGAAAGCTGTGAAAATGGAAAGAAACAGAAACTGATCTCACACAGGGGAAATTCCTGAGTAAGGGTATCAGTAAGTTCCTCTGAAAAGCACTTGCAGACTAGGAGAAAATAAAATGATATATTCAAACACTAAATGGAAACCATCAATATTTTGTCCAGAAAACCCTATTGTTCAGAATAAAATACTTTCCCATAGAAACAAAAGCTAAGGAATTTTACTGCCAGTCAACTTGATTTTTTAGGAATGCCAAAAAAAGATCATGAATGAAATAAAAGAATACTAAATAGAAACTTGAATACATATGAAGTGTAAACAACATGGGTGAAGTCGAAAATGAAATCAAATTCACAATACTGTAACATTGGATTGGTACAATGTATATTACGTAACTACTATAAAGGTTAAAAATTAAATCTAGTAAATCTAGTAAAAATAACAAAGCTAACATTGTGTACCTTAACACATACATAATAAAAAGACATGAACTGTAACATGAAAGGCACCTACGGGGTATGTAGTGGTGATTCTAAGGTAGAATTTTTGGATACAGTTGAAAGTGTTATCAGGTCCTGGCTGGTATGGCTCAGTGGATTGAGCACCAGCCTGCAGACTGGAAGATCACAGGTTCAATTCCTGGTCAGGGCACATGCCTGGGTTGTGGGCCAGGTCCCCAGTTGGGGATATGTGAGAGGCAATCAATAGATGTTTGTCTCCATCTCCTTCTCACTCCCTTTCTCCTCTCTAAAAATTAATAAATAAAATATTTTTTTAAAAGTGTTATGAGGATAAAATAGATTGTAAAGCGTATGAGTGGTTTTATGCAAGTCTTTTGGAATCACAAGCAAAAACATACGTAATAGACATACAAAAGAGAAAAGAGTCAAAGCACTATGTGAAATTGTCAGACCACAAAGGAAGACCACAAGACAGGAAGACAAAAAGTATACTGCAAAAGAACCAGAAACCACTGAGGTAGCAATTATAGCTCCTTAAAAAAAATTCCCCAAACAAATGACATAGGGGCTGAAGAGGTAAGACAAAAAAGAACTGGCACAATAAATGCTGCCTACAAGAGACACTGAATCTTATTATGTACACAAACAGGCTGAAAATAAAGAGATACAAAAAAAAATTACATGCAAACCAAGAAAGGGCAGGAGTAGCTTTAAATTTTTCAGATGAAAGAGACCACCTCAAAACCTGTCACAAGACTGTAAGTTCATCACAGAATGAGAAATAAGTCAATTCATCAACCGGATAACAACTTTAAGTATTTATGCACTAAACAACAGAGCAACTAACTATACTAAGCATATACTATCAGATGTGAAGGCAGAAAAAGAAACTCAGTATTAGTAAAGAACTTCAATATTGCCCCTTCAACAATAGTAGATCATCTCATTCAAAAGCAATAAGGAATTATTGAAGATTGACTGACTTTAGCGCAATCAGAACTAATAAGAATACACAGAACATTCCATCCAAAAGCTGCAGAAGATGATGATGCATTCTTCTCATGTGAAACATTTTCTAGGTACATCATATATTAGGTGAAAAATCAAGTCTCAAACTTCAAGAAAAAAAATAAATTCAAGCATCTTGTTTCATCACATTGTATGAATCTTAAAATCAATTTTACTTTGAAGAAAGCTTGAAAATTCACAAATATGATGAAATTAAACAACACACTCCTGAATAATCAGCGGGTCGAGAAAAAAACAAAAACAAAAAACAAAAGAGAACGCCCTTGAACCTCAGAAAACAATAAACACAACAAGAAAGTAAAACCAAAGTTAGAAAAGGAAAAAAAAAATCCGATAAATATTACAACAAACATAAATAAAATAGAGACAAGAAAAAAAAAGAGTATCTATGGGCTATTTTTTTTTGAAAGGTACACAAAACTGGCAAACCTTTACCTAGACTAAAACAAAAGATTCAGATCTCAAATAGATTAAAGGAAAATTTAAGATATGACATTGCACCTGACACTATGAACCATGATGCCTCATAAGAGATGTTGGCAGATGCCACGATCCTACATGGAAAAAACTGTCAAATGCCCACTATAAACTTCTGAAATTAATAAACAACCTCAGACTCCTGGCCAGGTAGCTGAGTTGGTGGGAGCATTGTCCCCGTGTGATAAGACAGTGGGTTCAATTCCCCATCAGAAAACGTGCAGGGGGCAGCTAATGAATGCATATGTGTGTGGAACAGCAGCAGATCAATGTTTTTCTCCATTCTCTCTCATGTTCCCTTCCTTTGTCTAAAATCAGTAAGCAAGACATTTAAAAAATAAATTAATTAATTGACAAAAATTACAGGATATAAAACCAACACACAAATTCTGTTTCTATACACTAATAATAAATTCTTTGATAAGAAAAGGAAGACTGATGTTCATGTGGATCAGTTAGTTGGAGCACTGTGATGTAACCAAAAGGTTATGGGTTTGATTCTAGGTCAAGGTACACAAGTGGGTTGCAGTTTGGGGCACATATAGGAGGCAACCTATTGATGTTTCTCTCACATACATGATTCTCTGCCTCTTGCCCTTTCTCTGTCTCTAAAACCAACATACATATCCCGAGGTCAGGATTAAAAAGTAAATAAAGAAATGAGGATGTAGTCATTATTATAATAGGATCAAAACAATTATATACCAGAAATAAATTCAACCAAAAAAGGTGAAAATCTATATTGAACACGGTAAGACAGTGATAAAATAAAAAAAAGGAAAAGCCAAATGAATGGAAGACTGTGGGTGTTCTTGGATTTAAAATTTAATGTCATTAAAATTTATATATTTATATATTATGCAAATAAATCTACAGATTACATGCACTTTTGATAATTCCAATGGTATTTTACACAGAAATAAAGAATCCTGAATCCTATAGAGCCTCAAAAGATTTCGAATAGCAAAAGCAATCCTGAGCAAGAACAAATGTTGGTGACACTTCCTGACTTCAATCTATTATAAACAAAAGCAATACAGTGTGTTATTAAAATGAACACAGAAACACACACCAACAGAAAAGAACAAAGAACACAGAAATAAACACAGGCACTGACATTCAACTAATCTTTGACAAAAGCCTCAAGACATATAAGGGAAAAAAAAGAACAATTCCTTAATTAATGGTGCTAGGAAAAATGGACATTCACATGTAAAAGAACAAAACTAGAAAGCACTGATTAAAATGAGTTCAAACTGCATGAAAAAAATTAAGTATCAGTCCTAAAACTTCAAACTCCATCAAGACAACTTAAGGAAGATGATTTAGAGACTTTGGGGTTTTTTTTTCCCCATTTATATAATCATTTTTTAAAAGATTTGAATTACTTTTTCTTTTCAATACAGAGGAAGAGAAGGAGACAGAGAGGAAGAGAAACTTCAATGTGCAAGACAAGCCTCAATCTGTTGCCTCTCACACACCCCCAGGTGGGGATCCGGCCAGCCACCCAGGCTTCTACCCTGACTTGGAATCCAATCAGTGACCTTTCGGTTTGCAGGTCAAACTCAACACACTGAGCCACACAAGTTGGGGCTGAAGATTTGTTTTTGAAACAATCTTCTGAATGTGACAACCACCACAATGCAAAAGAGCATACATTAACAGTCCAAACTACAACAAATGAAAAGATTCCTCACAGAAAAGCAATTAAAGAAATGAAATGAAAAGAGAGCCCTAACAGTGAGGCTCAGTTCATAGAAAGTCATCCTGCAAACCTACAGGTGGCTTGATGGGTTCAAGATCAGGGCCCATGACTGGGTTGGGGTTCAGTACACAGTTGCCGTGGCAGAGAGGCAATGGATCAATGTTTCTTCCTCACAACAACAGTTCTCTACCTCTACTTCTCCCTTCCTTCCTTTGGATCGAAATATAGAAATCAATAAAGTCTATTAAAAAAGAAAAGGCAATCTCAGGATGAGAGAAAATACTTGCAATAAATATAATACTATCGCTTTGAGGTGTTATGGGTTTGGGTCAGAAAATGTCACATAATTATTTTGATTTCCAGGTAAATAATAAAGTTATGTCAACACTATACTGTAGGCTATTAACAGAGAAACACCTGACTTATTTATAACTTAGTTAAAATTGCTTTATCACTATATACCGGTAACCAGCCTCTGAGCCTGCTGAAAAACTGGGAACACTAGACATGCTTAATGCAGGGTTGCCAGAAACATTCAAACAGTATAAAAAGTAAAGAGGAAAAACAGTATCTGTGAAGTAAATTTAATCCAATTGAAAAACTATGTACCAGTAGGTGAGACGGCATATACATAATATACAAGGGATTCAAAAGTCATGAGCCAAGAAAAAATGTAAAAACAACTTTCCAAATATATATGTAAAAATGACCAACAGGAATAGAAAAAAGGTACTTTCTCCCTAATTCAAGGTGGTATTCATTAGGCTCCCTGAAATATTACAAACCACAAATGCTTCCCTGTGAGTTCAATATAACAGGTATTGGTACTTCAGGGAGAGAAAAGGGCAGTGCAAACAAGGCGGCCCTACCACGGAAAGCAACTACTCAGAAAACTGGAAAATCAAGCAGTGCTTACAGTCCACGTGTGAGGAGAGGGCAACCCCTAGAGAACAGGAGGCATGGGAAATGCAATGCAAAGTCCAAGTAACTGGTGAGAGTGAGTCTTACCCAGCGAGGATATAGTTCAAAGTTCTCCAGCATCACATCCAGGTACAGGCGTCTCTGACTGTCATCGAGGAGGCACCATTCTTCCCTGGAGAAGTACAGGGCAATGTCCGCAAAGGACACACCAACCTGCCAGAATTGAGACAAATGAAGCCAGAGCCGTCTATCTCAGAACCACAATACTGCTTCTTACAAATCCTGCCCACGCTCCATTTCCTCCAGGGATCCCCACTTCACTGTGGACACCAGGCCCTAAGCGAGTGCTGGCTGCTCTCTCCTCACGGTCCCATCAGTGTTACCACGTTCGGCAACAGCAGCAAGGTTGCGCCACGCGGGGGAGAGCAGGTCAATGCCATCTAAGCCCTGGGCCGTGACTGTCGGGTCCCATTCTCCCCGACAAGCAAGCCCACTGAGTCTCCCAGATCAGGCCTCCATGACACAGCCAGACACGGGCACGAACTTTACACTGAAGTCCCGCGTAACAAGCCCAGCTTTCTCCTCGATCCCACGGCCGGATAAAGTCCCCAAGGGAGCTCTAAAGCCCTCCCTGCCTGCCTTCTGATCTTGGCTTCGGAAGTCACCACCCCGATCAGAGCGGGACTTTCAGATACGAATAACCCCCGTCCACTCTACACGGTACTTGCCGCGCCCTCAGACACCACAACACTCCTCTCTCCAGTGAGCCTTCCTCACCGTCCTTGCCGCGAGGCCTGGGAGCTTCCTGTGTGAGACGATGAAGGAGGGAAGGAGAAGGCCGTGCACTAACCTCAGCCGGGCCTCTCGGCGAGGCCGCCAATGGACGCTGCGGGTGAGGCCGGGAAGTAACGGCGGGAGACAAGGGCGCCAGGGGCCCGGCGGCGCCTGTCCAGGGCTTGGCCCTGCTCACTCGGGCACGGTCGCCCAGCCCCTTACTCTCCTGTGGGCTGTGTGGACCACGGCTCAGGCGCCGTTTCCACCCCCGCATCTCCACCGGCACCCAAAATCTGGAGCTTTTGAGCAATGCGGACGATCGGACTCTGAGTAAGACCAGAATGCCCATTGGCACGCCGGAAGTCCCGCCCTAGTGGTGTGCGCCAAGGAAAACGCCTTTTCTGACCCTTCATTGGCTAGGCGTTGCGGCATTCCTCCAACGGTATTCTGGGTAATATGGGTCACAATGTTCAAAATGTGTTGCTGGGTTTTCCCACAATTCTGCCAAAAACGACATGATCCGCTGCTAAGGCGGATGGGAAATGACTCGTCCTTACAAAAGACACATCTGGAAAATGGTTAAAGGAAGTTTTCATGTTTTCCTGGACAAGCCGCTTTAGTTCATATTAATAGAAACACATTATCTTAAACCCAGTGAGGCATAATAAAAGAAGCATCATTGCACTTACAGAATCCGGAAAATTTTATTGCACAAATGACGTACTTACACCATCATATATGTATGTGACAAATACAAGACAGTAGGACACACCTTTGAAACAAAAAAAGTATGATGCATAATATAAACATTAGAGGTCTGCTGTTCAGATATAATTTGAACGTCTATTAAATGTAATTTTTTTTTCAAAGTTAGACCATTGAATCCTGATGGTTATTGGTGTATTTGTTAATATGAAAATGGTAATTACCATAGTGAAAGAAAATTTGCCTTTCACCGACATATTTAACACATCAGATAAGATGGTGTTTCAGGCATTCTCAGTGTGATTACAAACATATTTATAAGTTATATTTAGAGTCAATGAAGTACAAATGCATAATGAAACTGTCCTATGTATAGCTCAGAAACTTTTAAACAATAACACGAAGTGTAAATAAGTAATTATGGGTATGCATATGTGCAGTGAATATTAAAAATCAATAAAAATCTGTAAGAACTTTTCCTATTTAAATATTCAGAGACTAAGGACACTGAAATATAATCCAAAATTTGGAAAACATTAAGCAATGTAGCAGAGGAGTTGAAGAAAATCTTAATATTTACCAGAACTTACAGAAATCACTTGGAAATAAACATAATCTCCAGCACCCTGAGACTGGCACAATGATCATAGGATTGGCCTGACACCGTTGGTGAACCCCTGGCATGGGAAGACTATACAGCATTTCCTTGTACATGAACCACCTTCCCCCTTAAATCAAAACTCTTTCCCTGCTCCCTTAAATGTGTGATCTTAAAACCCTAAGGGTCCACATGCTTGGTGCTCCTCAGTGTTGCTCAGTTTATGTTTTCATATCGTGTATCACCCAATATTTTGTATAACAAAATTTTTTCTCTTTCAATTCTTGGCTGCTCCTTCAATAAAGCCATTGAACAAGTCTGGATGCAATCACATTTCTTTATTCACCGCTGTATATCACAGACCTAGATAGGCCTCTGAAGCAGTGAGATAATTAGTAATGGATTCTTAAAGGAATGAAACATAATGTCATGGCTATTTTTCCACAATACTAAATTTTTCTGCTCACACTGTACAATATCTTTCTTGACTTCCTTTTCCCTTCCTCAAATTCTAATGAATAAAAAGGACTCACACTTTGTAGAAACAAAAACTTTATGACAGTCAGGTTCCCAGCATAGCTATAGTTCACGTAAATTCTCTCACGTCTTAAAATCCAATATTCCTTAATTATCACCCATTGAGACTTACCTATTCTCAGGCTTCAGAGCCTTTTGTCTTCCAGTTTTTATAACTCTACTAATCATCGTTCATACCTTTCTGCAGTTTGCTCACCCCTTAATTTTATGCCAGAAATAATCTGCACTCCCAGGAAGACACTGTCACTACATTTACAGGTGTTAATGATCATCATGTCCCTTCAGGTGGGTTAAAACCTGAAATGAAAAACTTTTCTCTCAGGTTCAGATGCCTACTTTCCCAACCTACACGGATGCCAACATTGCAGCCATCCTGGCCCTCAATGTAAATTTGGTATGTAGTCATTATTCCCAGGTCCATGTCATACTTTTAATTTTCAGAACAGACCATGTCTCAGAAAATTCACTAAGGACTGTCATGTGCAAATACAGATGAAATGATTATTATTTCCTTCCAGAGAGATGAAAACTTTGAATGCAGAACATTTTTCTCAGGGTCCAGTACCTACTTTCAACACCTACATGGATGACAACATTGTGGACATCTTGGTAGCAAATGTAAATTTGCTATGTACCACACTCCCAGATATTCATTCTCTTGTTAGGAAAAAATAACCCTTATCCACAAAATGCATTAAGAAATGTTACAGAGGAAAACAAATATTTTCTGGGGTTGCAAATCAAATACCAAGAAAGAGCCAGATGGACTATATTCTGAGGAAGTAAGTGGTATGATGCAACCACATCCGCTTGCTTTGGGGCGTTGAGTATCTCCCCTCCATGTTCCCTCACCACCTGTCTGGAGTATTCTTCCTCTGATCACTGTGCAAGGACCTTCTGCTATTCATTCTAAAATCTTTGCTACCGATGAAGTAAAGAGAATGAACACTGAGTGTTTTATTTAGTATTTTAGTGAACCTTAATATTTTGATAGCAATTATTCGATACGCATTTTCCCCATTTCAGAGCATGAATTTCAAATGGAATCTGCAGCAACATTTTACTAGTATGTCTGATAAAGATGGAGGTTAAATCTTCCTGCTGGCTTTAGTGAAAGCAACAAACTCTTTTTTTTTAAGATTTTATTTATTTTTAGACATAGGGGATGGGAGGGAAAAAGAGAGGGAGAGAAACATCAACATGTGGTTGCCTGTTACACATGCCCCCTACTGGGGACCTGGCTGGCAACCTAGGCCTCTGCCCTGACTGAATTGAACCAACGACCCTTCGGTTTCCAGGCCATCGCTCAATCCACTGAGCCCCACCAGCCGGGCAAAAGCAACAAACACTTTAAGAGCATGCTTATAAAATACTGTGAAGTACAGCTAGCAAGATAATCAGGCATGTAATGAATCTCAAAGCTATAGAATAATGTTGATGTTAGAACTCAATGTGCGGAGTTTGAATGGTGCAACTTTTCTAGTATCCTGTCTGTACATAGAGGACCTTGACTGTGAACATGGTTATTAATCTCCTTCAGATGACCTACATTTATTTTTTTTTAAAATGTACCTATTTATTTTTAGACAGAGGGGAAGGGAGGAAGAAACTGAGGGAGAGAAACATAAATGTGTGGTTGCTTCATGCGTGCCCCCTACTGGGGTTGGGATACAACCCAGGCATGTGCCCTGCCTGGGAATCGAATCAGTGACACTTTGCTGAGTCTCAGGCAGGCACTCAATCCACTGAGCCACACCAGCCAGGGATAATTTTTCTTACACAGATGGTGTCTTAAAAAGTGATCTTGAATCTCTCCGCTATCTGGAATCTGGAGCAAGGGTCTCAGTTGTGGCCCAGGATTCTGAGCCCTGCAGTGAGCGTTTGTGTTCAGAAGAACGATGTTCCAACCCAAAGGTTCAGGGTGCAGACACCAGAGACTACAAAGGAAGACGTGGGTACAGAACATGGTCCTGGCTGCAGGAAAGACATGGTGAGTTTTACTGTCTCATACACCCAGTAGGGATATAGAAGACAGAATCACCTGAGCAGTGGGTCCCTTACATGGAAAAGAGGTGAGCATTTACTTAGCACACCAGGATCTTTTAAGTCTCCAGCGTGACTTCTAAGTATTAGATTTCAGTATTCACATCCAGTTGTTCTCACTGCTGGAAGGAGAATGTCAGTGCCACATATGAATGACCCTTGAAAAGTCAAAATAAGGCATCAAATTTACCAGAGTAAATGGGATCACAGCCTGACAAAAATGGGGGTGAAAGAGCAGAGACCCAGCCCAAATTAACAAGGTCTCCTCATGGTCAAAATCTGTGCTGGGATCAAAGGAAAGGCAGAAGAACAGTAACTCAGTATAAAAAAAGTTTCCCCCGGGTGCTGACAGCTGCGGTCAGTTGGCCGGACGTCATCACGCAAAGGTGAAGGTCCCAAGATCCATTCCTGGTCAGGGAACATGCCTGGTTTGTGAATTTGGTCCACATTCATGGAACATGAAATAGCAACCGATCGATATGTCTCTCTCACATCTACATTTCGCTCCTTTCTCCATCCCCTCCCTTGCCTCAGAAAATGATTGAAATCTTTTTAGAATAATAAAGGAGGTTACCCTGGAGAACTGAGTGCCAGGGGGTACGTGCTTTGACATTTTAGGAAATCAGAGGGAGAGTCATTAATTGTGCCAATGGAAACAGCAGCTTCAGCTGAGCCTCCCTGGCTCTCACTCTGCGCCTGCCCCAGTGAGGGCTTTGCAGCCATGGTATAGGTTGTTTCTTCTCTGGAGCCAGAATCCTGGGTTAAAATCCAGCCACTTAAATCTGGCACTTCTCTGCTGAGTAAATTTGGAGATTCTACAGCCTTCCAGAGAATCTTAAGACCTTACCTCCCCTAACCAAGGACACTTGAGAGCAAATGGTTCATATCTCTCATTCCTTAAACAGAGGCTACATCCTGTTCTGGGAAATGGACACCAGAGATTCAATTCACATCATTTGTGCCACTAAAGCCAAGGACAGTTAAAGTCAAGGGAACAAATTTTAAAAATGCCGTTAAGAGCCAGAGAGACCCAAGATAAAAGTAAAACAGTATGGTAGACCAAAACTATTCCCAAACACCCATCTGCTCATTTTTAAAATGCACCTGAAAGCTAACAAATATTCTGCTGAAACCCTCTGCTGAGATTCTCAACTGCAGGAGAAAGATAAGCCCCTTAGGACAAAGGCTCAGGTCAGGTGTGCTCTATATTTCCATGTCACTTTTCCCCAGAATGAATGTTTAACTTCCTCCTAAACTCTTAAGGGATCCCAGGAGACTTGCAACCAGTGGAGCAGTGGGCAGCAGACGTACCACCCGGATCACCCCCGATCGCGTCTTCAAGGCCCCTTTTTCTCTGACCTCCCAGTGAGCTAAAAGGAGCCTGGCTTTGTTTCTTTTCTACCTCTGACCTCCACTTCCCAGGGAGCTAACAGCAGTCCTGCCGTGCCTCACTCTTTTCCCATAACATTTCTAGGGAGCCATAGGAG